GACAGACGACCCCTCTGCTATCATTGCGGTGAGGCTGGTCACATTTACCGCGAATGCCCATACCGGCAACTTGGAATGCGCGGATTTTCCGTCAATTCCCCTCGTCCCCGAATTGGTCAAAGGCCAAGGGATATCAAAGAGTATCTCGCGCAACAGCGTGCACCCTTTACACGACGGCAATCGCGGTCACCATCTCCGAGGAGACCCGCAGCCACTGGGCCACGTTTCGGGGTGACGGCACGGGAACGCTCCCCGAGCCCTCGTCGGGAAAACTGAAGGCAGCGGCCTTCGGGGGCAAGGTCGCTGGGACTCAAAGTGCGGAAGACCTCCCATCGACGCTTGCACGCAACGCCGAAGGCATTTCGTCAGAGAATAATCGCAGTACCGAAGAAACGCCGACATCTAGATCTGAACCTAGTGACCGCGTGTCACTCGACATACCTGTGCTGGTTGACGGTCTTCAGGTCAGTGCATTGGTAGACACTGGTGCAGACTATTCGATCATCAGCGGGAGGCTAGCGAAAGATCTCAGGAAAGTGATCACGCCGTGGAATAGAACGCCAATTCGAACAGCTGGAGGACGCGCTGTAACACCGCTGGGTCGCTGTACCGCAAGAGTGAAAATTCGTGCGTCAATGTTTGTGCTCAGCTGCCTCGTTCTTCGCGACTGTTCGTGTCAGCTGATTATCGGCATGGACTTCCTTCGGGAATACGGTGCCATCATAAATCTCCGTGAGCGCATCGTGACCTTCTCGACTCAAGGCGCAACAGATCGAGACGCTGATAACTGCCGTAGACCTGCACTGCGTGTTGCTGACGACAGTGTGACGCTGCCACCTCGAGCAACTGTTCCCATCGAAGTCACTTGTGAAGACTTCCAAGACGGCGACGTGGTGGCGGAAAGCAACTTATCACTGCTGCTGCTCCAAGGTGTATGCGCCGCCCGAAGTGTTGTGCGCGTCCGTGACGGACAGTCAACAATACTAGCTACGAACTTCAATTACGAGCACCGGCATCTTTTCCGCGGAACCACCCTAGCTTATGGAGACCCTGTTGCCGACGTCACAAAGTGCTTCGCGTCCGAGGAAACGCATGAGGATGAGGAATTTCTAGACCGCATCGACATTAATTCGACGCTGTCAGACGAGAGAACGGCTGCACTTCATGACCTTTTAAGGGAGTTTCAATCTTGCTTCGCCTCTTCTTCTAAAGTCCGTCAAACACACCTCACGAAGCATCGAATTATTACCGACGATGACGTCCGCCCCATCCGGCAGCAGCCTTATCGCGTTTCTGCCAAAGAACGCGAGGCTATTCAGACACAAGTAAAAGAGATGCTCGATGACGGGATTATTCAACCATCCAGCAGCGCTTGGTCCTCGACAGTCGTTCTAGTAAAGAAAAAAGACGTAACGCTGTGATTCTGTATTGACTACAGGAAGCTTAATAGCGTCACAAAAAAGGACGTCTACCCGCTTCCACGGGTCGACGACTCCCTCGACAGGTTACGATGTGTGAAGTATTTTTCGTCCATCGATCTAAAGAGTGGCAGATCGTAAGGCTTCTGCGTACGTACGACGGCGACTGTCAGTAGACACAGGAGCCATTTCCCGATCAACTGACGTGGGCGGAAAACGATGGGCGTGCAGCACCTGCTGGACCTCGTCACGGATGACACTGGTGATAGAACCAACATCGATTTGCCTAGCCCCTTTCACGGAGAGCAGCATGAAGATGTTGACGACTGGCTGAGTGAGTTCGAACGTGTCGCAGCGATCAATTACTGGGACGATGCCGCGAAGCTACGGAACGTGTACACTTGCTTAAAAGACGGTGCCAAGACGTGGTTTTTGAACAGGGATGATGTTCTGACATCTTGGCGCGAGTTCCAGCGTCGCCTCCTGGAGACCTACAGGAGTCCCGACCGCCGCGAACGGGCGAAGCGAGCACTACAATGACGTATCCAGATGCCCAACGAGACCGTCTCGATGTACGTCGAGGACATGACACGGCTTTTCAAGCGAGCGGATCCTGCTATGGCAGAAGAAAAAAAGTTGCGCCACCTCATGCGTGGTGTGAAGGAACAACTTTTTGCTGGTTTGGTGCGTAGTCCCCCCCAAAGTGTTGCTGAGTTCTTACTGAAGCGACAACAATGGAGCGAGTACTGCACCAACGGTCTGCCCTGTTTGACCGTCAAGTGAATGCTGCCTCAACTCCCGAAAGTTTCGCCACCCCTGGGAGCAAGAGCCCCGAATGAATTCGCGACATCATTCGATCTGTCGTCCGGGAAGAAATGGAAAAGATGCACGGGACAAGGCAAATCGATGTTGGTTCTATCACCAGTGTCATCCGTGACGAGGTCCAGCAGGTGCTGCACGCCCATCGTTTTCCGCCCACGTCGGTTGATCTGGAAACGGCTCCTGTGTCTACTGACAGTCGCCGTCGTACGTACGCGGAAGCCTTACGATCTGCTATCAAGTTTGTCAAGAGTAACGTGACAATACTGGTGGAGGTGCTGGGTATGAGCGGATTCTGGACGGTGCTGTAGATCGGCGTGGAAGGTGTCGGAGATTGCATGGGATCTTGGGTCGAAGTCATAGTCGCTGCTTCAATGGTTGGTGTCTCAGGCGGTAGGCCTCGTTGGCGGCGGCTTACTCTATGAACAGGAGTGCCCATGGGTGCAGGGCTTGTGTTCCGGCTGCTGGACGGGGTCTTGGGCATCGGGTGGATCGTGAGACGTTGTACCCAGCAACTCCACCAGTCTTGTCACGTTACTCTCGACAAACTTGATAATATGATGAATATATGATAAAAAGATTCGAGATGGTGGTACTTGGAGTGTTGAATAGGTGGACGAACGGACACACAGACAGATGCATGGACGGACGCATGGATGGCTGCATGGACGGATGGACGCATGGACGGACGCAGGAGCGGATGCATGGACGAAAGCAGGGACGGACGCACAGACGAACGTGCGGACGCACGAAATGACGCACGCACGGACGGGCGGATGGACGCACGGGCGGCCACACAGACGTACGCATGGATGGACGGAAGCAAGAACGAATGGACGGACGGATGCTTCGCCCCACTATCCATCAATCACTCCGTGGATATGCTGCCATTCTTTATGCTACGGATAGCTTTGCGACAAATCAATACAAATTTATGGAGAAAGGCTCCCGAATAGGCTAATTAGAGTGGCCCTCCCCACGAAAGAATAATACGTATTCACGAGGAGAGGCGTGCTTTATGTGGTGTATACGCCAAGCGACGACGACAGCATACTACAGCCCACGCCGCTAAAGTGCTCAGCACCTAAAAATGCTCTTCTTTTCTGCTCGTTTGAGGCCACGTCTCACGAGGCCCCGATCCACGAGGCCCTGTGTAAACTCGTCGACCCGTGGAAATATAGTTAAAAGTAAATTCCAGCTGCTTCGAACAATTGCGATTCCCGCTTTTATTGTTCTTTAATACGCAAGGAGATGCTGATTCCTTCTGTCTACTCTTCTGTATATTCATGCAACGAATGGACACCAGCTCTGAAAAGACAAAATCTTAAAAAAAAAAAGCAGTCAAACTTCTCGCTAGTTGCTCGCGTTCATTCTATTTAGACAAAAACAGACAGAACAGGTGCAATAAAGAGACAAATAAAGCGCCACACTCGACAGTTGACCAGCTAAGTGCTTCATAACTTGTTTGGCCTCCAACCTTGGTTGATATATCGAAGGCAAGCGGGTTACATGCGTGAACGTACGGCACTTATTTGCCATCGCCGCCCGCGAGCCGTCAAATGTAACGAGAGACGTTTGAGTTCAGTCCGTTGGCCGCTGGGATTGCTATCTCTTTTTTTATTTCGCAGAGCGCGTCCTTGCTTTTGGGTTTTTGTTTCAAAGAGCTAGGTCTATCGCTGGGTCACGTAACCACTGACAAGAAGTTGCGCAGTTAGCCTTCTCTTTCGGGAACCCACATCCGCATGCCTTGTATCTGTGCAACGTGGCTCTGATTCAGGGGTGGCTGGGGGGGGGGGGGGGACAGAGGGTTCAAGGCTCTCTCATTTCTTTCTGCCCACCCCTCCCCTGAAAAAAAAAATAAGGAAAGCAAAAAATAAAAGTCCTGAAGGAATTCACTGTAAAGTAGAACCGCCCCCCCCCCCCCCCCACCTCCCCACCGAAAAAAAATATTTCTGGCTATCCTTCTGCCCTTCTCCTCTGGCAAAAGAATCCTAGCTGGTGCTGCCCAATTTTTCATTTAGCGTTAAATATGCACTTACATGCATTAGCCCTGTAAAGTAAATGTAATTCAAAATTTAATTGGATGACAAAGCAGTACCGTCAAATATCACTCATTGTATGTCATTACATTCTTGTTTTTCCGTTCCTTTTCCTATTTGTCCAGAATTTGTCGCCATTTATTTTGCTGTCCGACTTGCTGTCACCGAAAAAAGTTGTACAAGGAGATATGTACGTACACTTTCTTCCACGTGTGACACTTGTCAGCTAGCCTTCTGCGTCCCTGGACTTGGAGAATAGAAAGCAACGGTACTGTTGCGAAATTAAGACAAGGCTGAGTAACTACAGTTGCGTTTGACCTCCTGTTGACGGTGAGGCGTGACTTTTTAAAGTTAATTGCGCGAGTCTCATTGAGTGCTCCGAGCGCAAACATATGCGCCACGACGTTGCCACGACACAATGCCAACTTGAGCGGTGATGTGGGACGCAGGCGCGCGCCGCACCCTTTCAACGCGCCTCGTTCTAGACGGGGCCGTCTAGGAAGATGTGAGAGACGGAACAGGGTAGGAGGCTTGGAGAGAGTGGCTTGAATCGAAGCCGTACAAGGCCCGAAGCAAAATAAAATAAGACAGATCGCGACACCGCCAGCAGCGAAAGTTGACGGGCAGCTAAAAAGAAGCTGAGGAGGGGAGTGGCGCCTTCGGAGTCTGCGGAAGAAAGGGGATGGATAAGAGAGAGAGAGAGAAAGCGCGCCGCTTTCGCTCGCGTCGCGCTGAAGGAAGAGACCGCCGCCTCGCCTACCCCGTTTCAAAATGGCCGCGCTACGGTTGGTGGTCATCGCCTTCTTAGCAACTTTCTCGGGTCACGCAGTAGCTGATAAGGATTCTCAAGGTAAAACAGGTACGTGAATCGACTGGCAATGAAACTCGCTCGATTATCGATCAGTACGGCTTGTCTTGGAGGCTTCTAACACGTTGAACGGAACGCATATTTCGCTCGAATAGAGTGCGACACTTGGCGTGTCCTGGCGGACGGATAGAGTGTGCGGAGGCGGTTGTTTATTCTTCGCAGGCTTGCTTAACTGGCACAACTTGTGAGATTTAACTAGCACTGAATTCTTGAGCCACTATTCGACGGTTAAAAGCGATAAATCGATTGCTACCGGCGCTTGTTCCTATCCGACGTAGTTCAACAGAAAAGCGCACGTACGCACTGTATCGCTGCGTGGATGTAGCTTCAACGAAGCTCTTCGTGCGATCGTGTCATCGATATTTTTTTTTTTTGCGCTGGCGAAAGCGTCAGGTGGGACGAATACTTTTAAAGTTATTTACTGGGCACCTTTGTGCTGAAACACACTTTACTTAACTCTGTGTATGCCGCACGGTTCTGGGTTCATCCTGGGCCCGTACAGAGTGATTGCAACTACGCGGAGCTTTCTTTTGTCAAAGTTTTGAGCTTTTATCTAGTACACAGTGCCTTGTGCTGATGCTTGGGCAAATAGGTAAAATAGAAAAAAAAAAACGTACGCTCAACCGCTAGAGGAGAGCGCAATGAGTTTCGTTTGTGTGAGTTTCGTTAGTTTCATGTTGGTGACGGTTTTATGTGAAGCGCTCCCCGAAGCGGGCGCAAAAACGCAAGGAAGAAAACAAGAGTTGCTCGCACGTTTACGTACGCCAGGTTTCTGCAATGTCGCTGCCGACAGCGAGGGCCAAGGCGTTGCCTGCCAACCTCCTGTGGATGCCAACCAGCGTGTCAAGTCACTTTACGTAGCAAATGATTCTGAACCAGTTAAACCCGGTGAGCAGCTGGCTTTCTTAAGTATAATCGGAAGAAATGGCTTTTGACGCCGTGTCACTAAACTAGCACGTTTGATTTTGCGTTCCAGGCACTCACAGGCTAGTCATATTCACTGTCGCTAGTGAAGAAACGGATGGCTTTAAGCGCTTCGCACGCTCTGCAAAGATATATGGCCTCGAACCAAAGGTAAGTTCCACTGGTAGTTGTCTTTCTGTCGGGCTCAGGATCATGCATGCATCTAATCAACGTGATTGACAAATTCATATGATAAGCATATACTACTTCGAACGTTAATTTTTCTCTGCAGTGCTCGCACACCACGTTTATTCTACAATTACTTCATTTGAAAAAGCCAATTTATTCTAGTTGCCAGGAGGGTAATAGATAAATTGTGGAAACTTACTTCCGCATTACTTCATATACATTTTTATTGGCACTGAATAGGTGCAGAAAATAGCTGGTCTGGCTCTTGCATGTGTCCTCTGCAGCTTGCAAATGTTGTGATCTTCAAAAACAATTGCTTCGTAAAGTGCTTGCTGGTCATCTTTCCCCATTTCCCTGTGCATACATCAATAACACCACTGAAGACTCACTCAGTGCAGACTGAATGGGCACACATGTTTTTATAGCGTACGAACAGTATACATTTGCTCAATGTGACTGCTGCCTGATGCAACAATGCTTGTGTTTGGGTCCTTTTTGAAACTGAGTGCTCTTAGAAGTAGTGCTCACTGAGCCAGCATAAAGGTACGAAAATTGACCCAGAGGCAATCAATCTCTTGGCATCGACGGCCAAAAATAGGGTAATCATTCAGACATGTAAAACCACCAATTCATTCTGTTTGGCAACATTTGATGGATTGTTATAACGTTAAAAAGCAATGGCTCATTGCCTGGGTATGCCACTTGGATATTCGTATTTCTAAGGAAGCTGCATGACACAGCTGTAAATGTTCTATAGTCATCATAAAACTGAAGTGCTTTAAACTGCATCTCCTTTTATATCTGGTCAATAAGGTAAATGGTTTCATTTAACAGAGTAAAAGGAGTAATGGATGCATTAAAAAATTTTGAAAAAAAAGTGTGCTTGATTACAAGTAATTCATTATAATTTATTACATACAAGTTTAATCTGGCACAAGTTTCGCATTCCTTGCAACCTTTTACTAGATGTGCAAATATTCTGATCATGTCAAACTATAATTTTCTAATAATGAGGCTGCATAGAAGTCGCCATGTTAGTCTTTAGAATTGTCCTGTTTTCTGTTTCATGCCTTGCGAATGTTTAGTGTGAGCTTTGCCAACTTTTATTTTCCATGTCTATTAAAACAAATCATACATTAAGTCATAGGTATGCTGGTCTAATGGTCATGTTTTATTGTTTATGTGGTCAATGACTTAGTATGCATGGACCAGAAGATACATCAGGTGTAAATGACATGTGCACATGTGAAAAAGAATATTTCACTTGTTATAACTTCCAGATCCTTGGAATGCACGAAGAGTGGCTTGGTGGGGACATGGCAAAAGGCATGGGAGGTGGCTACAAAGTCAGGCTCCTGAAGAAGGCACTAGAAGATTACAAGGATGACGTGGCAACAATAATCATGTTTGTAGACAGGTGAGACAACATTCGCCAACTTGACACTGCGACTGGGATGGTCAAAACATTACGACAGCACTTAGATATTCTGTAGGAAGTATAGCTCTCTAATAACATCAAAAAAAAAGGGATCAGATACGAATAGTCACAGGAGCCAAAACTATGCTAAGGAAACTACTTTGTCAGGGCATGACTGTAGCTCTAATTTTATTAAACAGGGTGTATAACCAATCCTAAAGAATGCAGTACTATTCATAAGTCACAAAATCAATTATATACTGGTTATTTTGTAGGTCTTGTGATAGGCCAGGCATTGTAGGTGTGGCACCTTATTGCAGTTGCCCTCTTGAACTACAGTAGGCTCTCAGTAAATGGAAATCTGTTAAACGTAACTACTGCTTAAACGTAATCAGTGCCTCTGCAATGCTTGGTTTTGGTCTTGTACTCTGCACCCACGTTCACCCTTCAGTAAACGGAACTACTGTTAAATGGAACACATTTGTTGGTCCCTTCAGGTTATGTTTTACTGAGAGTCTACTGTATGTTTAGAAAAAGATGGTCGACGACTCAAAGTACCGTGTATTCTGCTATGGGAGAGCAGTAAGCTGTCCTGAACTTAACATGGGTGTATTAGAGATGAACTTGCAGACAATACAACTCTTCTTTTTTTGCTTAGTATCATAGGCTTTCCTTTCTTGCATGCTGTCGTATGGAGTAGGACCCATTATAGTGTGGTCTGCAGTATAATGCCGGTGAGTGCAGCTGTGTTATGCATAATTAAATGTTTAAGAACCCATTTACTACGATTGTCTAGGTTATGCAAGACAGATTTTCAGGGCTCATATGCTTTATGTAAGTTCCATTACAGTTGATTTAATAGTGTGTGACGAGGTACCGTTGCCTTGTTATGTAAAAACAGCTTGAAGGTGTTCGAAAACTGTTCTTCATGAGGGTCAGGTAAGTGTGTTGATATTGTTACGGGGAGAAGGCATCTGAAAAATATCTTTACCTTAGATACACAGGCAGGCATAGAATATGGAGTGCAGTCTGCACGAGCTCGCACTAAACATCGTCCTCTTTTTTATTATGTTCATCTGTGGCGCTCCGTAGCATCAACCCCGGCAGCGAAGACGCTGTCTCGGTGCTTGGTTGGTTCGAGTAATATCGCTTTAGCCGAGTGACATGAACAACGTCAAAACACGATTGCGCGCTGGTGGTGTTAAAAGGTTCAATTTCGTATGTCACGTTGGTGACTTGGCACACCACACGGTACGGACCCGAGTAGTGGCGAAGTCGGCTTTTCGCACAGGCCAACTCGCCATGACGATGTTCAGAAGAAGGATTGTGTCACCACGATTGAAGTGGACATCACGATGGCATGTGTTGTAGACCAGTCGTTGTCGTTCCTGTGAATCGCTCAGACGCAGGCGAGCAATATCACGTGCCTCTAGAGCTCTAGAGATCACATCGCGGGTATATTCTGACGTGTGGCTAACGGCAGGAAGGAGCATGTCAAAAGACAACGTGGGTTCTCGTCAGTACAGGAAGAAAAATGGCGAGAAACCTCCAGTATCATGCCGGGACGCATTATAGGCAAATGTCACAAATGCAAGGGCGGAGTCCCAGTCACGATGGTCGAAAGAAACGTACATGGCGAGCATGTCCGTGATGGTTCTATTTAGCCGCTCTGTGTTGGTTTGAGGGTGATACGTCGTTGTGAACTTGTGCTTTATAGCACAAGAGTGTAATACGTCTTGGATAACTTGTGATAAAAAATAGCGACCTCAATCGGTAAGCAGTTGCAGAGGAGCGTCGTGGTGTAGTATGACGTCTTCTAGGAGAAAGTCAGCGACGTCAGTCACACAACTGTTAGGAAGGACCCACATAATGGCATACCGAGTGGTGTAATCCGTGGCGACTGCTATCCACTTGTTTCCATTGGCTGATAAAGGGAACGGTCCTAGTAAGTCGAGACTTACCCTATAAAATGGTTCGGATGGGATCTGATTGGGCTGAAGGCGTCCCGCTGGAAGGGTTGCTGGTTTTTTTGCGATGCTGACAGGATTTGCATGAGGCGACGTAACGGCAGAGGGATCGGTAAATACTGGGCCAAAAGGAGCGACGTCGAATGCCGTCATAAGTTCTTGAAACTCCCAGGTGACCAGCTGTTGGAATATCATGCAACTGTGCGAGGACAGTCTGACGCATATAATGTGGCATGACCAACAGCAGCTCATGTCCGCCAGAATGCATGCTGTAGCGATATAATACGCCATCTTGGAGTAGGAACATATGGAGAGACGGAGGAGTTGTGGGGAACACCGAGCCGAAGGATTATATCTCTGAGGTGAGGATCACGGCGTTGCTGATCTCCAATGTTGCTGAACGCGTAAAGTGCCAAACGCAAGTAGACTCATCGCTCTCAGAAAAGTCTGCTGGGTCTACTAGATGACACGACAAGCAATCAGAATCCTCATGGTGGCGGCCTGATTTGTAGACAACTGTGTAGGAATATTCCTGTAGCCGTAAAACCCACCGGCCGAGACGACCACTAGGATCTTTTAAGGACGACAGCCCCCATAAGGCGTGGTGATCAGTGACAACTGGGAACGGGCGCCCATACAAATACGGCCGAAATTTAGCCACTGCCCAGACGAGCGGGAGGCATTCGTGTTCCGTGATGGAGTAATTTTGTTCTGCTGGCGATAAAAGACGGCTAGCGTATGCAATAATGCGCTCGCAGCCATGCTGTCGTTGCGCCAAAACGGCTCCAATTCCGTGGCCGCTGGCGTCGGTACGCACTTCCGTTGGAGTGCATATATCAAAGTGGCCGAAAATCAGTGGCGTCGCAAGTTTGGTTGTCAATTCAACGAATGATCTGGCTTGTTTAGGTCCCCACAAAAAAGTCACATTTTATTTAGTAGTTTCGTGAGCGGGCGTGCGACGTCAGCGAAATTCCGCACAAATCTACGAAAGTAAGAACAAAGGCTCACAAAGCTTCGAATCTCATTCGCAGAGGTCGGCACAGGGAATTCCTTGATGGCATGGACTTTCTGAGAATTGGGACAAACACCAGAAGAATCGACAAGGTGTCCAAGGACAGTTAGCTGCCGGCGACTGAAGTGACATTTCGATGAGTTTAGTTGGAGCTCTGCTTTGCAGAAAACCGAAAGAATTGTTGAGAGACACTCGAGGTGAGTTTCGAAAGGCGGCGCAAATACAAAGACGTCATCAAGGTAGCATAAGCAGATTGCCAACTTGAAACTGTGAAGAAGGGCGTTCATCAATTGTTACAATGTAGCCATGGCATTGCATAATCCAAAAGGCATTACTTTGAACTGATATAGCCCGTCGGGCTATATCATTGTCTATTGTCTGTCCTTTTTCTCTCCTTCTTGTTTCCGTCAGTTTTTTGCGCAGTTACATACCTTATGGGGAGTTATAAATGCTGTCTTTTCATGGTCCAAATCATCAACTGATATCTGCCAGTACCCGAAACGAAGGTTGATGGAAGAGAAATAATTTGCTCCAGTAAGGCAGTCAAGAGCGTCGTCAATCTGTGGCAGGGGATACACGTCTTTTTCTGTAACTTTGTTGAGATTTCTGTAGTCGACACAGAAGCTCCAGTAGTTATTTTTCTTTTTCACGAGCACAAGGGGCGAAGCCCAAGGACTTGAAGAAGGTTCATTGATGTCTCGGGGCAAGCATCTTGTCGACTTCTTACTGAATCACGTGGCGCTCGGTGGAGGAAACCCAATAGGGTCGCCGATGTACTGGATTTGCATCGCCAGTGTTGATCCGGTACTTTACGACGGTCGTTTGACCTAGGGGTCGGTCATGGAGAACAAGGACGTCTTGATACGACGCAAGAAGACAATGAAGCACAGACACATGCTCGGCCGAGAGATCAGAGGCAATCATTTTAGTAATGCAGTCTAGTGTACTGCCCGACTGAATAGTGGCAGATGATGGTGTATCCTCTGTTAAGGCAGAGATGTGGTAGTTGCCGGCCGGGGCAAGGGTCGCAAGGGATATCCCTCATTGCAGCACTTCAGAGCAAAGTCCAAAGTTCACAATAGGGAGACATGGCACGTCCTTCATTGTGATCATGGTGTTGGGGATTGCCACATTGAGCGAACACAGGATTGTAGGATTAGGTGACATGACATAATCACCGTTAGCCGCACGTGAATCAGAAGAGACATCGATATACGTCACAGCTCGACAAGATAGGCGAACAAAGTCGACGGAGCATAGATTTGGCGGCGCAGGATCAGGAGGGTCAACGGCATGTGGTAGGACGAGTTGAACAACACCAGCAAAACAGTCAATTAAGGCGGAATGCTCCGACATAAAATCGAGTCCCAAAATGATGTCATGTGGGCAGTGGTTCAGTACGTAAAACAGAACAGTGGTATGACGTCCAGCAACAGTGACGCAAGCGGCACACATCCCAGTGACCCTTCGTGTTGCACCATCGGCTACTCAAACAACAGTGATCGGAGCAGGAGTGAGCACTTTCTTGAGTCGAGCACAAAGGCTGGAGTTCATGACTGTTATATGAGCGCCGGTGTCAATGAGTGCTGCTACAGAAGTACCACCAACATTTACTTTAATCAAGTTGTTATGTCTGGGTATCGTGTGTAGAGGAAATTCGGGTCGGGTCGTCGAAGCAGGTTCACCTCTAGGAGCTGCGCCCGTCAATTTTCAGGGGACTGGCGATAGGAGGGTGAGGGAGAGTGACGTCGGTTAGTTGAACGGGACATGCGTTCAGAGGGTTACGGGGAGCGGTTCGGTTGGGCGGTCCTGGATGGCGAAGCGTCATCTTGTTCCACGTGGATCGATATCTGAGAACCAGCTGGTGGGCATCGGGTGTTGGCATAATGCGACCATGGCTGCCGATTCCGGGAAGTGCGGCGATGACGTGAAATATGGCCGACTCGTCCACAGTTCAAGCAGATCGGCCTGTCATCGGAAGTTCGCCATTCTGCCGAGTTCCGGTAACGTGGCTGGTAGTTCGGTCCGCGGAACATATTAGGTGTACTGGGCAGTCAGTAGTCAGGTCGGTCTACGGGGCATAGCGTCTGAAGTCTGGGGTTGGCCAGTTCCTGGTGCACAGCGCTCTTGATCAAAGAAATCGTGGTGTGAGAGTCGTCGGGGGCCCGGACTTGGTCAGACAGTGGAGATGCTGCCTCGATTTCGTGGCGCACGATGCGCACGATATTGTCGGAAGCAGCAGGGGCTGGTGGCAAATGGGCGTCCTCGCAGGTAGATGTTGCAGCCGTGTTGGGAAGACGCGAAAAGTGTGGAGTGATACGACGACTTTTCACTTCTTCGAAGCGTCGGTATTCATTAATAACGTCGTCCACAGTCGATGAGTTTCGAAACATGAGGAGAGTGAAGGCGTCATAGACGATTTCTTTAAGGATGTGCGCGACCTTTTCAGGTTCGGGCTTCTTGTCGTCAACCTTCTAGCAGGGGGCGAGCACTTGTTGTATGTATGTAACGTATGAATCGATGCAGGACTGGAGTCGGCACGCTAGTTCTTTCTGCGCAGCACGACAACGCCCAATGGGCTTGCCGAAGAGATTGATGAGTTTCTGTTTATAGATGTCCCAACTTGTGATCTCTTCCTTGTGGTTGGGAAACCAAACTTTAGCTGTGCCGTCAAGGTAGAAAATAATATTGGCCAACATGAGCGTCGGATCCCAGTTGTACAGAGCGCTCACCCATTCGTACAGCTGAAGCCATTCCTCCACGTCAGTACTTTCACTGCCGGAAAAGATGCCTGGGTCACCCGGTTGGGTCAGGACGAGGGTGCGGTTATTAGCGGCTGGACGTGGTGCTGTTGGTTGCTGCGTAGTTGGACGAAGCACGGTTGGTTAGTCTCCGAAGAATCCTCGTTCTCGTCTTGATCAGGCATCGCAGAGGCAGCCAAGGAACGTCCGCTGCGTAGAATCGTCGTGGATGTTGATTGTGGGCACTCTCCACCAAAATGTTACGGGGAGAAGGCGTCTGAAAAATACCTTTACTTTAGATAAACAGGCAGGCATACAATATGGAGCGCAGTCTGCACGAGCTCGCACTAAACATTGTCCTCTTTCCTATTATGTTCATTTGTGACGCCCTGTTGCAATATTGTGGCAGAACAACAGTCGCAGGGCCCTTCCTGTTCACTGTCACATGTCAGAAAATAAGAGAGAGCCATACAAATGAGGGAAAGGCAGGAACAATAATTGGAATTAAAACTTCTTGTTTGCCACCATTCACTTAAGAGAAGGGAAAGAGGGTAAGAAGGAAAGATTTTGTTAAAAGAGTCCTCAAAACCATAGCATCTGTTCTGTTTTACTTTGAGCATGCTAAAACCCAAACATCAGGAGTACTGTATGGGTTTTACTTTGAGCATGCTATTTCTCATATTTTTTGGGGAGCCCCAAACCTTGCTTCAGAAGTTTTTGCATCAACCCAGGAAATGACAGCCGTCATCTTTGGCTGAACTAGTTTTAAAGTTTTGTGCTGTGCAGTTTTTACTCTTCCCAATTTCTTAATTTCATCACTCCACCTAACTGTCTGCCATTTTCAGCCATGTTACCTATCTCTTGGTATGAGTTATGATGCCCAACTGACCATCCTTTTTGTGTGCTTTTCATGATGTGACCTGCCCAGGTCCATTTTTATACTGAAAGCTGTTATGAGATTGCGATTGCAAAGGTCGTGTGTGCCGTAGCTGTCTGCTGCTGCCACCAGCGCCTGTAACCGCTATCTTGCAAAATAAGAAAAAAAAGTAAATAAAGAACACCAAGGACACAATGGGACTTAAAGCCAGGTCCGCTGCGTGCCTGCCCGGTATTCTACCACAGAGCCACGTGGGTGCTTGAAATTTTATTGCAGACTGGCCTTAGGCAGGCTTCATGTTGAGAATGGAATCGCGTTAATATGAGTAATAAAGCTTTCTAAAACAGCAAAGGAACAACCAGGCATCACACAATGTGAATTGTGTAACGAGTGGGTTTTCAAGTGCTCCAACCCATTACAGAAGCTTTAGGCATAATTCTTTATCATCATCCGCCACAGCATCGAAAAATTGCTCAAGGTTCCTTGAAAGTGTGTAGCAGGTGCTAAGCTTCGCTGTAGAATGACAGAGGATGGCATAGTGAATGCCTCCCTACTGCACAAAAATGATAATGATTAGTGGTGTAGTGGGTACCCGGCATGGGTGCTCATAGCAGTTACCCAAAGAGTGTTTAACAAAGGCTCTGATAGGCCACTCTTATAGCTTTCATTGTGACTGTGCTGTGCGTTCTGCAGGGGCCTGGCATTTTTTTATGTATATTATCTACTAGGATGTCAGGTACTTTGATTTGTTGTGTTATACACTGGTAATTGACTCTAACTTAACAGGCTGTAATTACTGAAAATCTGAGTTTAATATTTTCATGGAAATTGCACATATCAGAGAGGAACTGAGTGTCATCTCCCACATGGCCATGCCTACCCAGTGGAAATTACACAGCAGTGCCAGTCTCCTCAAAGCATTGGAAATTCAGCATGAATGCAGAAGGGAAACATGATACTCATGGTATCTTCACTAGTGCAAAGTCTGTTTCAGAAATTATTTGTGTGATTTATTTTTAAGTTCCCTCCACTTGTTTCGAAGTGCTTTTTGTACTTTGAACAGAGGTGGCTCAGGGCTTCCTGCAATATCCATTTGGCATCGAAAGTTTAGAGACCACCAGGTATGAGAAAAGACAGAATTTCCCAGCCATTTGCCACTGTGTTCGATCTAACTGCACTGGACATGTTGTTAGTGCATGTTCAAACAGGGCAGATATCTCAATTCCTGCTGACAGCAGTGGCTATACTCATTTTTCTCTTGTGACTCATAGCCTCTAACTTTAAATCTTTCGGTTTTGATTGCACATTTTACTTGTTTTGTTGTGGGAACATCACGTAATGCAATAAGCGCCCTCTTTCTAGTTACGACGTTGTGTTCAGTGCTGGCGAAGATGAAATACTCCGGAAGTTCTACAAGTTCAACTCCAACGTTCTGTTTTCTGCCGAGGGCTTTTGCTGGCCGGACAAAAGTCTTGCGGTGAGTGCATAAAGTGATAGGATGCTCATGAGTGCCTCTCATCCTGTTAATCTTTGGGAAAACCTTCTTTGTAGCCACAAGTGCGATCTTGCTGTCCATTGAGTGTCTCCTAGATGACTAGATGGTATACTGTTGTGACTGCTTTTGTTAAAATTTCGTGTATATTTGTAAAGTATATACGGGGATGGCGAGGGGTTGTGCCAGGGTCATTTTTTTTTCGGGAGCGTTGGGGCTTTGATCTTTTTAAATGCAGTTGAGAATGAGAGCAAAAGAATTAGGGCACGAACTGAACTAAAAGAAACAGGCATTAAATTAAATTTTTTTTTTTGTTGAAGACAAGCCGCAGGTCATGGGATCGAATCCCGACTGCTGGGACTGCATTTTCGATGGAGGCTAAAAAATGTTTGAGGCCCGTGTACTTACCTAGATTTAGGTGCACGTTAAAGAACCACAGGTGTTTGAAATTTCCGGAGCCCCCCACTACAGCGTATCTCATAATTGTATCGTGGTTTTGGAATGTTAAACGCCAGTTATTATTATTATTTATTTATTGTTTATTTATTATACCCTCAGGGCCAGTGGCATTACAGAGGGGAGTGGTACAGAACAAAGGCATAACATGAGATAGCATGGTTACAAAAACGTTGTGTACATAAAAAGGAAAAGGAGAGACAAAACAAATTAGTATTATCGCAACAATGTGGTCACACAAACACAGATTAAACATCAGATATTTCTGCATATACAATATTGACTAAGGCAGCACGGAACAGTTGGTTATCGGTGATACCTGTAATTTCAGCGCGAAGGTGGTTCCATTCCCGGGACGAACGGGGCAAGAATGACTGAGTGGCAGATTTTGTATGATAATAGTTAATGCCAACCTTGTGACGGTGGTCAATGCGATGGGAAATGTATAGTGGTTGGGGTAGGAGTTCGTTGCGCAGGAAGGAATGATAATATATTTTGTGCAGCATGGTTAACCGAAAAAGTTTCCTGCGTGATGATAAAGAGGGAAGGGAAAGGCTGCTTTTCATTGAAGATATGCTGGCAGTACGGTTATAGTTTGACAGGATAAAGCGAGCGGAATTATTTTGAACAAACTCGAGAGAAGCGATTAGATTTTCTTGGCTTGGATCCCATACTGATGCTGCATACTCTAACTTGGGGCGTATTAAGGATTTGTAAAGCGATAATTTTAGTGACGATGGGGCTCTAGAAAAATTGCGGCGTAAATACCCTAACATGCTAATAGCGTTGTTGATGATATTGCCACAGCTCGACCATCGCAGAAGACGCGTACCACAATTCGCGTTCGTAAAAGCCGTCAAGCAAGTAGCAAGAAAGCCGCGCCATGGAACGCCGTCCTGCACGCGCCACGATGCTACGCCATGGGACTGGCACGAGACTCGAGGGGCAGAAGAGGAGACCGACGGAGTTAGAGTCAGGGGCGCAGACATTTTTGGCTGACCATTTTTAGCTTCAAGTTTACGGGCACAAGTTCGCCCTGAATAAAGAGTTTATATAGTACCAGGTGCTATATTTATTCGTAACAATCTGGTGGAGGTGCTGGGTATGATTCCAAGCCCACCACAGGCAAGGAGAAGCCCAGATTCCAGAAGATTGGAGCCAGCAGAATTGACACCTGTGCACCAACGCACGAGTCGCCGACTACGTGGGGAGCAGCCCGAGTTTGGCCCCCTAATTGACTCATCAAGACCTGTCGAGACCTCAAGCACAAGCGTCACTACGATGGCCACCCAGTCGATGCCATCTCCATCTCACCTCATCGTGGATTCGCCACGTACACCAGAGGTCTTCCACGGTGAGACCTTTGAAGACGCCGAGGACTGGCTTGAAGGCTTCGAGCGCGTTGCACGTTTGAATGGTTGGGACGAAGCCCGAAAGCTTTGTTACGTTTACGTCGCCCTGCAAGATTCGGCACGTACGTGGTTTGAGAACCACGAAGCGTGCATGCTGTCATGGGACGACTTCCGACGAGAGCTAATCGCAACCTATCCGAACACGGACCGCAAAGAGAAGGCAGAGGCTGCTCTTCAGGCGAGGAACCAGCGGAATAACGAGAGCGTGGCCATGTACATAGAAGACATGTCACGGCTCTTCCGCCAAGCCGACCAAAACATGGCCGAGGAGAAGAAGTTGCGGCACCTAATGCGCGGAGTAAAAGAAGAAATTTTTGCAGGCCTGGTGCGTAATCCACCGCGAACTGTGGCGGAGTTCCGGTCCGAGGCAACGACCATGGAAAGGACGCTACAACAACGTGCGCGACTGTACAACAGAGACTTCAGCGTCTCTTCAGTCAGGGTGGAGTCAACAACCTTCCCCACCAACGTTGACGTCCTCCGGGAAATGGTGAGGGCTATTGTTAAGGAGGAGCTCCAGAAACTGCAACTTCCTCAAAGTCCTTCAGCGATGCCCTCAATCGCGGACGTTGTGCGTGAAGAAGTGCGGCAAGCAATTATTCAACCGCAGCCTCAGGTGACACACTACACGCAACCGGAACCTCAGCCACAGCTGTCATACGCGCAAGTCGTACGGCAAGACATGAGACGCCCGAGCTTTGCACAAGCTCCCGTTATGCCGACCTTTCCTCGCAGTACTCCAGCGCCGATGCCAGAAGCAACACCCCGCAAAAGTGATGTATGGCGCACGGCAGACCGGCGGCCCCTCTGCTACCACTGTGGGGAGGCAGGTCATCTTTATCGGACATGCCACTACCGTCGGGTCGGGCTACGTGGCTTCCCAGTGAATGCGCCCTGCCCTCGTAACGGTGAGCGCCCTTACGAAATCGAAGAATATTTGTCTTCGCGCTATGCCTATCCAAACACTCAGCGACATGAATCGCGGTCGATTGCACCAATGCGCAATAGGTCGCCGAGTCCACACCCATCATCTACTTTCCCGAGGCGTCGTTCACCAAGCCCGCGACGGGAAAACTAGAACCGGCGACCTGTGGAGGCAGGGCCGCTGATTTTCGAAAAACTGAAAACCCTCCATCGCTAACCGGATCAGACGACGACACTGACACAACGACGGACAAGCGCAGTAATGGTGACGTGACATCCGATCTACAAGTCAGAATAGACGACGTAGAAACCATAGCGTTAATAGACACAGGTGCAGATTACCCAGTAATAAGTAGCATGCTCGCAAAGAAGCTGAAGAAAGTGCTCACTCATTGGACCGGACCGCAGATACGCACCGCCGGCGGGCACTTAGTCAGCCCCGTAGGAATGTGCACAGCGAGAGTGAGAATAAGAGGCCATGTGTACGCCTGCAGTTTTATTGTTCTTCCTGAATGTTCCCGTGAGGCAATTCTGGGCATGGACTTTCTGCAAGCAAACAGTGCCATCATCGACTTGCAGAAATCCCAAGTTTCTTTCTCTACAGAGAACACTGTTGCCGTGTGTCATGCGGAGCAACCAATTGTTTCGTCTCTTCGTATTGTGGATGAAGGTGTGACAGTGCCGCCACGTAGCAGTTTAACAGTTTCTGTGAAAAGCGACATTTTTCGTGAATATGCCGGACTAGCTGATGGAAATGTCGAACTGCTGCTCACAAAGGGAATACGCGTGGCGAGAGGTCTAGTGAACCTGCGGAACGGATATACTGATGTGCTATTGACTAACTTTACCAACGAGGTACAGCATGTGGCGAAGGGAGCTGCCATAGCATCACTTCATGACTACGTACAAGTCTCAGATGTTTGCACCATAGAAAAAGTACCTACAACGCCCTCAACAGTGGAAAGTGTCCTCGAGAAAATAGATATTGACCGAGAGCTTTCATCTCTGCAGAAAGACCAGATTGTGGAGTTGATCAAGGAATTCGCAGAGTGTTTTTCTTCTTCTTCGAAAGTCGGACGTACGCCTGTAGCAAAGCACCGCATTGTAATCGAAGGGCATGTTAGACCAGTATGTCAGCATCCATACCGAGTAGCTCCAAAAGAAAGGGAGGCGATAAAGAAGCAAGTACAGGAGATGCTCGACGACGATGTCATACAGCCCTCCAAAAGCCCATGGGCATCGCCGGTAGTACTGGTGAAGAAGAAGGACAACACCATGCGGTTCTGTGTTGATTACAGAAAACTCAACCTCGTCACGAAGCGAGACGTGTACCCACTCCCACGAGTCGACGATACGTTGGATAAACTGCGCAATGCTCACTTTTTTTCATCGTTGGATCTAAAGAGCGGGTACTGGCAAATAGAAGTCGACGAACGAGATCGGGAAAAGATGGCGTTTGTGACACCCGACGGACTCTACGAGTTCAAAGTACTCCCATTTGGTTTGTGTTCTGCTCCCGCTACCTTCCAGAGGATGATGGACACTGTGCTCTCCGGCCTCAAATAGCAGTCATGTCTTGTCTATCTGGATGACGTAGTAATTTTTTCCACTACGTTCGAGCAGCATGTACAGAGATTGAGAACGGTACTGGACGCTATTCGTATGGCTGCACTTACGATCAAACCCGAAAAGTGCCACTTCGGGTTCCGGGAGCTCCGGTTCCTCGGGCACATTGTCAGTTCTCACGGTGTCCGCCCAGATCCGGATAAGATCACTGCGGTTGAAAATTTCCCAAGGCCAAGAGACAAGAAAGCTATGCGACGTTTCCTGGGGCTTTGTGCCTACTATAGGCGCTTTGTTGAAAATTTCTCCAAGATTGCGGAACCACTGACACGGCTTACGAAGGAAGGTGTGCCATTCATCTGGCACCAAGAGCAAGAAGACGCCTTCTCTGAGTTACGACGGCGTTTGCAGTCACCCCCCATACTTGCTCATTTTGACGAAGACGCCAAAACAGACATTCATACGGACGCCAGCAACGTTGGCCTCGGAGCTATTCTTGTTCAATGGCAGAACGGGGAAGAAAAAGTTATTGCTTATGCAAGCCGCACTCTGTCGAAAGCTGAGTATAATTATTCAGCTACGGAAAAGGAATGTCTCGCAGTGATATGGGCTATCAGTAAGTTCCGTCCATATTTATACGGTAGACCATTCCGAGCCATCAGTGACCATCATTCATTGTGCTGGCTTGCGAACCTCAAGGATCCTTCCGGAAGACTTGCTAGATGGAGCCTACGTCTACAAGAATATGACATCACCGTTGTCTACAAGTCTGGCCACAAGCACAATGACGCGGACTGCTTGTCACGAGCACCAATCCAGAACTCGTCTCCTGAGCATGAACAAGACTCCGCATTTCTTGGAGCTGTGAATGTGTCGGAGATGGCTCATGATCAACGAATGGACCCAGAATTACTTCTGCTCATTCAATACTTAGAGGGGCAGCAAGTCGAAGTACCGCGAGTTTTCATCCGTGGACTACGTTCCTACGTCCTCCGCAACAACGTTCTCTACAAGAGAAACTTTCAACACACCGGTGAAACGTTCCTACTGCTGATACCATCATCACTGCGAGCGGAAATTTTAGAAGCGTGTCATGATGACCCATCGGCAGGTCACTTGGGCATTAGTAGGACTTTGGCAAAAATCCGCCGCAGATATTACTGGCCAAAATTGATGGATTCAGTACAGCATTACGTAAGATCATGTCGAGAATGCCAAAGACGCAAAGTACCACCCCTAAAACCAGCAGGTCTTTTGAAACCGATAGAGCCACCGAAAGTCCCGTTTGAGCAGGTCGGAATGGATTTGCTAGGACCATTTCCTATGTCATCGTTTGGGAAGCGCTGGATAGTTGTAGCAACCGACTACATGACCCGGTATGCCGAGACGTCATCTCTCACAAAAGGAATGGCAAATGAAGTGGCTCAGTTTTTTGTGACTCAGATAGTGCTGCGACATGGCGCACCTAGAGTTCTTATAACTGACAAAGGAACTGCGTTCACTGCCAGGCTAGTACAGTCTGTCATGAAACTAACGCACACCGACCACAGAAGAACTACCGCATACCATCCGCAAACTAACGGGTTAACTGAAAGGCTGAACAGGACGCTTGCTGACATGATCGCGATGTATGTGGACGTCGAGCATCGGACTTGGGACACCATATTACCGTATGCTACATTTGCATACAATACCGCAGTACAAGAGACAACCCACTTCACGCCATTTCAACTTGTTTATGGTCGGACAGTAATAACGACATTAGACGCGATGCTGCCTGTCAACAGCACGAATGAAGAGGACCCTGACATAAGCGAATATGTAGAAAGGGCAGAAGAGGCGCGACAACTAGCACGGAACCGCATCATTCAACAGCAGAACGTCGACGCGCACCGTTACAATCTAAGACGAAGGGATGTTCAGTACTCCCCTGGAGACCAAGTGTGGGTCTGGACGCCTGTACGTGCACGTGGCCTATCAGAAAAGCTTATGCGGCGCTATTTTGGCCCTTACAGGGTTCTTCGTCAGCTAGGCCCATTAAACTACGAAGTGATCCCTGAAGGTCAAGTGTGCACAACACGACGCAGGAATCTCCCGGAAGTTGTACATGTAATACGTATGAAACCGTACAACGTCGTCTAACACAAGGAGAAGTCCTATTGTTTAGAAACTGTCAGCCGGCTCTACGCATCGGGGCTATGCGTGCTAGGAGGGGGACTAATGCCACAGCTCCACCATCGCAGAAGACGCGTACCACAATTCGCGTTCGTAAAAGCCGTCAAGCAAGTAGCAAGAAAGCCGCGCCATGGAACGCCGTCCTGCACGCGCCACGATGCTACGCCATGGGACTGGCACGAGACTCGAGGGGCAGAAGAGGAGACCGACGAAGTTAGAGTCAGGGGCGCAGACATTTTTGGCTGACCATTTTTAGCTTCAAGTTTACGGGCACAAGTTCGCCCTGAATAAAGAGTTTATATAGTACCAGGTGCTATATTTATTCGTAACAATATGTTCAATATGTGTTGACCAGCTGAGGTTAGTTGTAATGTGCACTCCAAGGTACTTATATGATGTAACTAGTTCTAAAGCTATGTTGTTTAGGTAATAAGTTGACTGGTGCTTGGGGTTGCGGGATACATGCATAGCCTTACATTTGTTAATGTTTAATTCCATCAGCCAAGTTTGGCACCAGTTAGAAACAGCGGTTAGATCAGACTGAAGGATTGTAATGTCGTCACTATTATTAATCGTACGAAATATCACACAGTCGTCTGCAAACAAATGAATATTAGAGCACAATTTTGAAGGGAGGTCATTAATATAGATAAGAAATAGAAGGGGCCCTAGGACGGATCCTTGTGGGACCCCAGAGCGCACTTTGCTGAAAGAAGAGTTAAAGCCATTAGCATGAACAAATTGGGTGCGGCGGGTAAGGAATGCTTCAATCCATTGTAGCACGTTTCTATCTAGGTTGAGGTTACTTAGTTTGTGAAGTAGAAGTTGATGACAGACCTTATCGAATGCTTTAGAAAAATCTAAATAAATGCAGTCTGCTTGAGACGAACTGTCCAGGATAGTGTGCAGTTTTTCAGTGAAGGTTATGAGCTGTGTTTCACAGGAGTATGTTTTACGAAGCCCGTGTTGCGCAGGAGTGAAAAAGGAGTTTGATTGGAGGAAATTTACAAGATTTGTGAATAATACATGTTCTAGAAGCTTGCAGCAGGTGCTAGTAAGGGAAATGGGGCGATAGTTAGTAGGAGAACATTTATTTTTATTATGTCTAAGAAGATCAAATAGGGAATTCACTCTAATCTTACTATAATATCTAAGGTTTTATGTCCCGAAACCACAATAATATTATGAGGGACTTATCATCTTCGGAAATTGTGACCAGCTGATGTTCTTCAACATGTGCTGACATTGCGCAGGACAGGGATCTCTAACATTTCTCCTCATCAAAATTTGAAAATGTAATTGGCACGGCCTGCATTGAATCTGTGATCTTAGAGTCAAGAAATTGTGTGTGTGGGGCGGGGGAGAGGAGGGGGGGTTGTTTACATTGCTATTAACGGTGCTACAACAAAGCAGAATGATGTTATTTAAGCACCAATGCTCAGAAGTGTTCCAGAACTTCTGTGTATCAAGGAGGAAATAATTATTCTGACCCATTTTGTCAGCACACGGCGTTATGTCTGAACAATTGATTTCTGTTTCTTTTTTGTGGTTTAGGAAGCTTATCCTCAAGCGAATGGGGAACGTTTCCTGAATTCAGGAGGTGAGAGTTTGTTTCCATTGCATTTAAATAGTAGCTACAGCTTGTACTCATTTCGCAATGTGGAGCAGTTTGTGAACTACTATTTCATTATGCTTTTCACTACATGTTGCCTTAGTTGTTAGCATTTTTTAAAGCATAAGTACTTCATGACAACAGAATCCATGTGCATTGTAATTTCGCTTTCTAATCTAATTTCTCCATTTTCTTCTGACCAAAGTGCTGTCCTATATATGTACTTCACTGCCTGTGAACCTAAACTACAAGTGTCTGGATAGTCATTTACATGGAATTTTTTTAGAACAAATGAAGATTATCATTGTTTTAAATAACTACTGTCTGCTTATTGTGTTTTTAGTTTAAGGGAAAGTTATCACAGGTGTACTGAAGCTGTCCAATATACGTTAGGGTTACCTGCAAAAGTTTTTCATGAAAGGTAAAGGGTAAATAAATGTTTAAGTAGATTTCTCTGTGCAACGGAAGTACTCACTCAACATGGCTTAAAATAGCTAAAGCATTTTTTCTTGTAGCAATGTGTAATAGGACAACAAGGCTATGTGTAAAGAGATTATGAAATCTGGTTCATCTGAAAGTGAGATATTTCTGCCCGCATGGTTACAGGATTTATCATTTTTAACTTCATGGGACTGCAGTCATCTGGTTGAATTGTTTGGTGTCAAATTTAAGATAAAAGCATGGATTTACTCTGGCGCACATCGAAACACGCGAAACACTCTTGTGTTTAGTTTTATGTAGCTCTGAGTAAAATATCTTGGGCAATCGTGATGTTAGTGGGAATGTAGTGAAAGATCGGTTTGTCGTACACAGTTATAACAGGTTCTAAATTAGTTATAGTTGACGATTTTGGAACACATTTGGTTTTGAGATGTGCTTTTGCAGAACATGTTGCATACTTTGACGGTTGTGGGAATTTCTTCTTCTGAGTTTACAATACAACTATTTTATGCGAGCATATGTAGCGTAAAATGGAAGTGATGTACTTGAGTGTGAATCAGTTCATCCATGAAACGATTTACGTACGAGAACATTTTGCTTTGCTCACATTGCTTATTCTTATTTTGTGCTGTTCTTTGGTGCGAATGGCCCTAACTCCCTAGCTTGCCCCGATTTCTCATTTGCAGGTGAGTAATGTGCTGAGCATGCATACTTACGAGATCTATCTCAAATTACTATAGTTTAGCACTAGTCTAAAGAGCACAAATAAACCTGATTCAAACTTGTGATGTAGCTGAAGCAGGCACCTGCAAAGTGACGCCGAAGATCTTGTTTCGCGCTTTGAGATTCCATCGTCTTGAGTAATCTATGTTTTGCTGTGAAGGCATGTCGCATCTTGCTGAGCATCATGCTAGCATGGCTTTGTGCTGTGGCATGTTGCATTGTTTGAACCTGTTGAAAGCTCTTTGATGCTGTGTTTTGTCTGTTCTACCCGTAAACCATGTTTCTTGTTCTGTGCTGTGATTATAACTTATTTTCGAATCTAAGTTTATGTACAATCTTGCAAGAGCTCACAGATGTTTTGCACGCGACAGTGATTTATTTCTAGATGGCTATGATTTATTTACTGTGGCTTCTTGGAACTTGCAGCAGCTCCCACCTATTTTGCAGACAACAGTGATGTATTGCATAGTACGTATATTATTCCTGAACAGCCATGGTTCAGTGCTTCAAGCTGGTGGAATTGCATATTGCCAGTGTCCATATAGAGCGCACAGCAAATGTGGAGGCTGAAATTTGTAACATAAAATCTTTTTGTTAGTTCGAAAGGAAGTGCAGCGCTTGAACATATAAATGTTCTGATGTACAACCTTTACCGATAGAAGAGAAGCTGCCGTAACTGTGACCACAACCCTCTTTTCAAAAGCTATGCAGCAGCAGTAGCTTCACAGGCTTGAGACTACGCATCCAGGCTTCAGCAGCAGTGAAATTCTTATAGCTTCATTCATTTTTGTCAGAGGCCTTATGCGTTCAATCACCGTGAATGTAATATTATTACGATAGCAATTATACGGACACTCTCGGCTGATTTCTGTCGTCGCCGTCGCCTGTTGCTGGGGATACAACGGCGAGCTATTCATACCCACCATTCATACGCTCACTGCACCGCACCATTCACGCACCATTCATACACTATTCATACGCTTGCGGTACGCAGATCTTGGAACAGCTTGAGTATATTTTCTATCACCAATGCTTTTATATTTTCCTTTAAATTGAATACTGCCCTTGAAACCCACAAGAAAAAGGAGCCCCCTTCGGCACCACTCATGATGCAGAAGAGGAAAAAAAAAAGAGAAAAAAAAAAGAACGCAGGGCACACTAGGCGTTGGGCGCGACCGTGTGGCAGGACACGCAGAGGGGTCATTTCATGTGTCGCAGCAAAAAAAAAAAAGTATCAAACAGTGTCGACTTCTTTATTGTGGACATTTTCAGCACGTTCCTCAAATGACAAACATGCAACAACTATGAGAGTTGTTAGTTCACACCTGTCCTGTGTGTACCTATGTGTTTTGTCTGAGCGTCCTACTTTGTGCTGCAGCGATGAGCTGAAAGCATCGAGCTGGTTGTCGCTCTTCGTGTGATACTCTAATTTCTTTCCTATCGCATCCATTTCTTCGGCCTAGTGGTGAAACTGTGACTTCTCTTTTTAAACTGTTGCTTCTCAAGTAGAGATCTCGGCAATTTCGCTATTATGCTTTGTTTTACAGTTTGCTTAAATTTTGTTTCATGTCCCCTAGAATTGGTGTTCAGGCACTTGGTAATGTCTGTCATTGGTTCCTGTGTTGCCAAGTCATCGTGTGAGGTCTGTCGATATGCATTATTAAGCAATCCAATAGTGCCATCTTGTTTTACACTGTCATTTTTGTTACACCGTCATCGTTGTGTAGGTTGGAAATGCTAGAATTAAGTATGGTTTTCCTATTTGTTAGATTTTTTATGCACATAAATGAGACAGTGGTGCGACGAGAAATTTGAGGCAACTTAATCTTTGTACGAAGGAAGTAGAGATAGTTGACAAGGATTCACAAAAAAAAAAAAAAGAAAGAAGTGGAAGCACATGCACAAGAAAGAAATTGAAACATTGGTGTTGTACACGACAGTGTTGTCGCAGTCACGGTGCTCGGCTGCTACCTGAAGGCAGCGAGTTCGATCCCAGCTGTGGCTGTCGCATCTCGATGTAGGCAAAATGGTATATATATAAGCTTGTGTATTGTGCGATGTTATTCCACGTCAAAGGACACCAGTTGGTCAAAATTTCCGCAGCCCTCCACTACGGCAGCTCTCATAATCGTACCGTAGGTTTGGAACATAAAATGCCAGATAATATTATTATTATTATTATTAAAACATTTCTATTGCCTTGATCTTTTCTTTATGATGTTCATGTTTGCACATCTACGATCTCTTAAGACGAACTTGGTATTGACTAACTTTGTTAATACGCTGAACTGAGACTGTATGTAGCACCGACGTTGTACTATCTCTCTCTAAACCTCACAGTTTTTGTTTTTATTATGTTGTAAGAATTTGCTCTACAGCACATTGCCTGTGCGAATGCTTTGTGCAAACTGTAATAGTACAGCTAAGCAGCGCGAGATATTCGTTACTGCTTTAGCACACGATGCTTGCTACAATATTATGGGCAGTTTGTGCGCTGCTTGATCGCCGATTAACTTGCTACGCGTCCTTTGTCTGTGTACTAGTGTACTGTCTTGTTCCAGCTGCTTTCCCTCGTGAATATTTAAAAAAAAATCTTCATTAACTTACCAGGCCTCCGGAGAGTGCAGAGTTCGTGCATGTAAGAGTGGTCTTGCGCATGTTGTGAATGAAATTTATTGGCCTTGTGACGCATTGCACTGTGCTGTAGCTTGAACGGTTGCTCAGCATCGAGTATTTTCTTTCTGTTTGTAGTTTTGTTGTGCGTTTAAAATGTGGTCATTTTTATTTTATTTTTGTTTTCAGGTTTCATCGGTTATGCGCCTCAGTTGTATAGCATTGTTTCTAGCTCTGATCTCGAAGACAGTGCGGATGACCAGTTGTTCTACACAAAAATTTACCTCAACGAGGAACTTAGGGTGAGTGGCCTTCTCAGCTTCTGAGCATTTACGCTGCTTTCTAGCATGCCAACTATGAACCTAATAGAAATATCGTTACGTATTAGTAATGGGTTGCAGGAAGCAGGCACGAGCAGCATAAGTGCAGTGACAAAAAGAGAGGGGAAGGGAGGGAATCTTAAGCTTGGTCCTTAAGAGTCATTTTATTTTTATTTAATTTCAGACATGCTGCCGATCCGAACGGGATGTTCGCATGAAGGGCATACACAGAATAAGAGTGTTCAATTCATAGCTAACAATTTGGTGAATTAACAAGAAAGTTGCACGTAAAATTTAACGAACACACCTGGAAAGTAAAAAAAAAAAGCAGTTCATACAAAGGGTACTTAGCATGCGGCATGAAAAAGAAGTCATAATGATAAAGGAAGGGTGTACATAAGTAATGTGTCAATTGCTCGGTTACAGAATGAAAATGAATCTGTTACGTAAAGCAAAGATGGTAAGGTTAGTACTATACAAAGAATGGAATGCGGTAGTGATATCTAATCTCTAGTGCATACTTCAACCACCTAGTGCATACTTTTTATTGTGTGTTGTTAGTCCAGAAACTTGAATCCTTTGATTACTACAATGTAATCAATGAAGTAGAAAGTGGCTAGTGTCAGTGAAGCTTTCACATATGACTGCATTTCCTGTAATGGGTAGCATGCGTTAAACCACGAGCAATTATGCGCGTGAAAACTTTTAAACTTGCTATGCACCCACTATGTGGTCTTAAGGGAATGCATTATAGTGTGTGGCTTTAGTAATGGGGGGCCACCTTTAAACCACAAAGTTATTATCATAATCACATGTTCTGATGTCCGCTCGCTTGTATCATGGAATATTGCTGCGATATTACATGTTGTACTCTTACGCTCTTGTATACAAAGTGCAGGTGTTTAGAAAGCATGAAAGTTACTTTCACTGCATTTCCAAGCAAACGAAGTTATTTTCACCGAATTTCCAAGTAGACGCATGGGGGTGTGGTAGAACATTAGCTTGCCACATAAAAAACCTGGGTTCGATCCTAATTTAGACACACAAATTTTTAATATTTATTTTATTTGCATGTTTCTAGTTTTTTCGATCACGGACATGATGATTCTTCGCTCACAACTACCAACGTCGGAATTTATGTGAAACAAGTTCTTTAACGGTATCATGTTAAAGCTAAGGAATTGCACTGTGGCTGCTGAGAATAAGCGTAGCCACGCAGCTGTTTGCCGCCATTCGAGGCCGCACCAAAAAAGGCTTGCACACTCTCCTTGCCCTCAGGCACGTCTGTGATCGGGCTTCAGATTGGCGCTTGTGCAGAACTAATTCCAATGGGCACTGTTTATCTGAAAACGCTGTGCTACACAAGAACCTTTGATAGCAGTTCAGGAACACAGCTGGCGAAGATAACCAGCCCATAGCATCATGTTCGGCAATATGAAGTGGGCTCGCAGTCATTCAATTGGCTTCGTGGCAGAGCCTAGCTGGCACTCTGCTTCCTCCGCTGGCGTGAACTCCGTGTGCATGCACATTACAGGCACTAAATTGGGTACAATACAGCGAGCCATGGAATGGAAAATTATAAATGTGCCCTGTACCACTCCTTGCATGCGCTTGTGCCTGTTCCATGTGTCGTCGTATTCGTCTATATACACAAAATCCTTGCTCGTGACAAGCCTTAACGGATAAGAAGGAAGTAGAGTGTGTCATTGAATGAATGGGTGTTAAGGACAACTTAGTCGAAACCAAAACAGGCTTGGACATGGTATGTGGTACAAAAATTAGCTAACCTCTGGACATCAGAGTAACAGACTGGATTCCAAAAGAAAGCTAACCCACTAGGGGAAGACAGAAAGTTAGATAGGCAGATGAGATAAAGATGTTTGCAGGGATAACAAAGCCGCAGGAAGCACAGGACTGGGTTGATTGGGGCAACATGGGAGAGGTCGTTGCCCTGCAACAGGTGTAGTAAGGCTGATGATGATGATGATGACGCTACAGACTAGCATGCCTTCTGAGTAACTATGGATATTCATTGAACGCACATAGGTGAACGATAAGTATCATACACTCTTCATCAAATATATTTCATTGGGCACTGACTCGGGGGGACAGTGTCCTGCTGGTTTCGTCTCGTGCACCATTGAAGCCTAACACTTGTTGCATGACTGCTGATGCTCCTGTTCTCACCCGTATAGTAAGGCACCTCTAGTAGCTGCCGGGGGGCCATTCATTCCGTCTAAAACTTGCTCTGCGTACAGCGTCACACCACCATGTTGAACCCGCCTGTTATCTTAATGCCATCTGTGAAGTTCAAGGGCAGTGCTATATCTTAACATCACTGCAAATTTTTATGTATGTTGAATATGAGATTAAAATCTATGTCTGTGCATTTGCACATGCTTGTATTGCTATGCACATTTAATAATTTTTTTTTTTGATCGAGTTCACCCTCATAAACTGCTACCAAAGCCATGCGCTGGCCATGCCACAATGATTAGGAAACATCTAAGATGTGTCAGACTATTCTGATAAAACTACGCTGTGGTTGAGTTTCCTCTAGAGCTAGCTTGAGCCCCAACGACAATGTTGGAATTTTTCATCATTCATGCATGATAGTCTATGTATTTCACCGATGATCAGATCACTATGTGATTGACGAATGCACTCGATGATATTGTTTCCTTGTGTTACTTGCCTGTACAGCACGTGTTACTTGATTTTCTGGGCACAAGTTCGTGCGAAAAGGAGTTTCATTGTTAACAGTCATACAGCCTCATTCCTCCTTCTCACAAACGTGTGTGAATAGGCCAAAGAGAAGTGTCCATACTCGTGGATATGAAATTAATGCCATCGCGCGAACTTGAAAAAAATTATTCTTTTAAATATTGTGACATGCTTGCTACGCTTAGGTCCATATTTTCTGTGAAAACAAGAGGTGTGAGTTGCTGTTTTCTTATCTTTGCACGATTATTCTTATCGCAGAAAAAATGGGGCATCAAGCTTGACCACAAAGCTGAAATTTTTCAGAATCTGAACGGAGCAGTAGGTGAGAAAAATATACGTTTGCTCAAGGCTGACTGGGTCTTTAGTGTAGCAGTTGTGGTAACATTGAGACTTGTTGAATATAAATTTCTCATCGAGAATAGCAGTGCATATAATTAAACAAGACAACTTTTTAGAATGTTGTTTTGTTTGTACAAAAGATTGACTCTATCAACTGGTTATTATCTTAATTATTGTCTTTCGAGCTTGCTTTTGTTGATGATGGTATGTACGAGATAAGTTGCCCAAAAACCAACTTCAATAATGTAGTCAGTTCAAGTTTCTTTCGAGTTATAGTAAATATTCGTCATAAATTTTTGGGAAGTGGGGTTGCGATATGAAAATAGGCCTCTTTTAATTATTTGCCTCAAGTATACTGAGGTGCATGTTAGAGAGTGTAGGGCTCAGTGCACCAAAAATTAAAGATAGAACTCCCAGGTTCACAAATAATACGTGTGCAAAAGAACTCACGGGGTATGCCACTACCATCATGCCACATAATCTTTGGGTACGCAAATCTAGAACTTCCCATGGTACAACAAATATGTATCTCGATGACGAATACACATGTAACATTTCTGAAGCTTATCATATCCACAATAGTGGCGAGGAATGTGTGAGCCTCCGCTTAATTTCCAATTTCCCACCTTGTGAAGCAAATAGCATTTCTGTTTCATTGATTAATTTGTTGCCTCTGCGCATGCCGTGTCTTCATCTATTTCTCTAATTTTTGTTGTTTAACTGAGATAGCGGGGGGTATATATGTGCTTATTGAAAAAACAAACACATTTGGGTGTTAGTCAGAGCCATGGTCTGTGTCCTCTCTTCACCCTGTCATTTCAGCACTGTTTTTCTATAATTCATGAACTTACCAGGCCAAATGCATACCCTACTACAAATTTCATGTTGGTAGAGGCCATAAAAAAGTTTTGCAATGTAGATAATGGCACAAGGCAGGCACAATGGCGTACAGGCACCTACAGGTCTGAACTGCTGGCTTTCCTTTTGTGAAAACCTTTTTGTCTTCATTTAGTTTCTCTCGTGCTGTTTTCTGTATTAAAAATGATGCATGTAATAAAGAAAGATCGAGCAAGAATGTTCTCAAGCTGTAGGGCCCAATACCATGTATGTATGTCTGTTTTCCCACGTTCAGGGAGCATCACAAGGCTTCTTTAGCATAATACATCAAGGATAACGTAATAACTTTTTAATGATTAACCAATACTGTAAGGTCGAGACTGGGGGGACAGCGTGGTGGAATGGGTAAATTCTGGCATTTTTTGAACAACAGTATGCATACTGTCAAGGCCTCTGAAGAGTACGAGAATTAACCTTTTTTCATTTTCCTCTGCTATTCTCTATGTATGGTTTGGGTGGGAGCCGGGAGAAATGGCATTGCTAGAATGAAGAGATCAGCAGGCGATCCATGGCATTTTGCTTCAGGAAAGGTGCATGCACTGTAACATCGTGAAAAATGTGGATTTACTAGCAGTCTTTTACCTTTACCACATTGGTGCTCATTTAGGAAAATTGCTAACAAGCTTTGTAAGACATGGTTGGGCCAGCAGCCTGCTCTTTGATAATTTATTTCTTTGTACTAGTATTTTTATATTTTTAATTGTGGTTGCCAATAATGCACTACAACTCCTCTGCAGGTGACGTTGAGCTACTGGGCTTAGACTTTGAGCCATACCTGCACAATTCTGCATATGGAACGACTCCTTTGGTTATACATGGCAATGGGCCCAGCAAAGTACGCAAAGCACATTTTGTTATTGATCTTCTCGTTTGTGTTGCAAGTAATTTTCCTGTGGTCATTACAGTGGTAGCACAGTATAGGGTAGAAAACAAATTTATAATATTTACATTACAGTCATACCACAACACACAGCAAACGAAATCAATTTGTGTTTGCATTAATTGCCACTAGTGCATCAAACATGTCCCCATATGACGTATTCTTGGAGAGCTGGTCTATTATGCAAGTTTATGGAAAGAAGCGATGGCCTGACATTTTAGGCAGGCAGCGTAAGTGTACAGGTGCTAACACGAGTTGTGCACCAAGTAGATACTGTGCTTATCACCTAAAGAATACAACAAATGTGAGGCAAATTTTCTTCTTACTTGGGGACATGTTTGAATACAGAGTATAAATTACTGGGTAAGATACTGTATAGAGGACGTACTCTGAAGAGTGGGGCACATTAATAAAAAATACTACAATTTGTGAAATAAAGCGGCTACCCTATTGAAAATCCTGGGTTGGTGGATGCTGGAATTGTTGGTGGATATGGTGGAAAGAATAGTGGATATGGTGGAAATATTAGTGGATATGGTGGAAACTGTAGTGGGCATAATGGCTGATGACGCCGAGAGTGGAAAAAATGGTGGCAGATGGTGGTGGTGGTGGCGAGCCAATGGTGGTGATGGTGGAAAATGCCAGCTGATGGCGGCTAGAGTGGAAAAAATGGTGGCAAATGGTGGTGGTGGTGGTGGAAAATGCCGGCTCATGGTGGCGAGGTAAAACGTGTTTGGTGGAAGGCTTGGTGAGCAAGGTGGATGACGGTGGCATGACAGAAGCTTGGTGGATGGCGGTGGCATGCTTTTTGTTGTTGTTGTTGGGATGTTTAGAAGACTGGAGTTGTCACTGTGAACATGAAAATAAATGTTTTACATCGGCGCGCAGTTGTGGACAAATAAATGGGCTCCAGTTTGCAATTGCCCCTTTCAATGTTAGAGCAGAACACAGCGCGGTCACTTCATGTCGCCACGCTAGAAACTCAACTCTGGTAATTCTTGCACACTCTATTGTTTGAGCCGTACCTTTAAGTTAACAAAGTGCGTGCGAATATGCATAAACTGTCAACTTTCGACATGCATCGAGATGAGCCCCAACGAATTTGACTTTCACCCTTCTGTTCCACCACCATGATTTCCACCAAAGGTTAGCCATACCGTCCGAGCCCGTACAAGTGTTATCGGCGCTTCTGGGTTGGAGAATACACAATTTTGACGAGTAAAAATGACAATACAGCACAGCTGTGGCATCATTTAACCTAAATGAAGCCTTTTTTATTGTGTACGGTGTCCGTGCAAGAAGTGACAAACATCGATGCGACGCGCTTGCAGCACTTCCACCAAAGATATGCCTCCCCTCACCGACAGCCGCCTGTCGCACTCGCCGGCACTTCGCTGTCTCTTATTCGAGAACATAGACACATCAATTCATACGCTTACTAAACGAATAAGATAACATAATGTTTTTGGCGCACTGCATTCGTTTTGAACAAGCCGTTATGTAGCTGTTCTTAAAGACAGAGCAACAGCGGTGCGCTGGCACGACTGCGGTGTGCGTTGCGCAAAAAACATCACAAATTAATTGTGTGGGTGTATCTATCGAATGAGCATAGAAGCGTAATAAAGCCTGAACTGATATCGCCCTTTGGAAGGAGCGAGAAACGGATAATAAACTTGCTAGTAATTGCCGATAAACTCTACCTGCTCCTCAGTCCGCTGAGTTGTTTTTTTTCCTTGCGGTTGTAAATTGTAACAAAAACTAGCGCAGTTGCCATTATTGCAGTGGCAATCGTTACAGGCAGCAGTTCTTCGTGTTTATCAAATGTGGAAAGTTTAGTTGCTGGTGCAGATCCCGTCCCTCCCGAGTAAACTACAAACGGAATGAAGTTAAACAGTGATTTTGTGAGTTGACTACTTCTTTAACAACCATGACGCCATTTGTCAGGGTGGCGCAGTGGTTAATGTGCTCAGTTAAAAATTCGAAGGTGGCAGGTTCGATCCCACGCTGGTGCATCTTTTTTTTTTATGGGTGCTTGCTACATTCTTTTTTAAACAATAATTTGATTATTTCTTTAATGGCAGCTCGTCGCGGTGGTTCTGACGCTGCTTCGCGCATTGCCAGCTGGAGCGTGCCATCCACCATCCGCTCCACCATACACCATGTGCCACCAACATTTCCACCGCCATAATCCACCAAAATGGTGGTTGGTGGAATCCACCATTTCTATGGTGGACGTTTTTTCAATAGGGTAGTTAAGTAAATAGGCGTTTTGAAGTTTTGCTCGTAATGACATGTGCACTTGTGGATTCGGTTTCAAACTATGAAGCGCAAATATCATGCCTCGAGAATTGTTAAATATTTTTCCTTTTTTTTTGCTGGGGCAGGTTGTATTGAACAATCTCGGAAACTACCTCGCCAAGTCTTGGAATGACATGGCTGGTTGCCGCATCTGCTACGACACCTTCAGCCTTTCAGACAAGCAGGTTAGTGCCAATTCTCAGCTCTGCTTCCTCAACCCTGCATTCTGTAGGTATAAGCGATGGTTACTTGGTTGCCTTTCCCTTTATTTAGTACGGCATACACGTTGATTGGTAACACTTCATGATACAGATTCATAGAACTTGCTGCATGTACTTGCTGCGTGCCGGGCAGCTTGTTGGCTAAGATGTTGTACTGCTAAGCTGGAGGATGTAGATATGATTACCGACCCTGGCAACTGCTATGTAATGGGGGGTTGATGCGAAAGCACCATTTACTTAGATTTAGATCTTAATTATAGAGTCACAAGTGCTGAAAATTGATGCACAACCAACTGGCTCCTACTCTGGCTCTTCTAACATGACGTTTCAAGTGGCGACACCCACGAAAGGAATGTAATGCCGACAGACATTGTGTAGACAGCCCAACTTCTTGATGCCTATTCATGTGTGTCTCTCCATGTGCACACCTGTATTTTCCATGCTCTGCTTATGTGCAGCATTGTTTGGCCTTTTTAAAAGATACTTCCTCCTGTTAAAAAAGGCACATGAGTTTCTGTGGAGTTCTTAATGCTTTTGACATTATTCACACTTTCCTCAGTGCCAGCAGTGACAAATGTGACAGTAAGCTGAAGCAGGAACAGAAAAAATGTTTATTGATAGCAGCTGTTGGCTTTTAATGTGGCAGGCATGTGCAAGCCAGTGTAAGCAATGACGTCAGCAGCTCATGAGGGACGGTGCTATAGTACACACAGTGCATGCATATCTTGCGCGATACGAAGCAATGCAAAGTTTATATTACTGTGAGTCTCAAGTCGTCAAGCTCTTTCAAAGCAGCGCGAAATAGAGCTAGATAAGTAATTTATTAAATGAATTTTGGTTGTGAGAAGTGCTTGGTGTGCATATTTTTCTGTTGAGTGACAACGAAGTTGCTTCCCCAGTGATTTCATTATTGGGAGTTCGACTGTATGTCGTTATAATTTTCTTATAAGTGATTACTTGCTGGTGCTGCTTTTTCAGGACTCTGAACTCCCTAAAGTTCTGATTGGAATTTTTGTGGAGCACCCTACCCCTTTCTTGAAAGAGGCCTTGCAGAAAGTCTACAATCTGAACTACCCCAAAGAGAAAATACATCTCTTTGTGCATAATGCTGTGAGTGGATGAGTCGAACCTCTTTTCTTTTGCCGCTGATGCAGACAGTTAACACGTTCGCTGCGAAAAGCTTTCCCGAGGTCTTGTTTTAAGTGCAGAGTGGCCCACCGGTAGGCCTATTCGGCATATCTTCCAGGTGCGCCGTGACCCATTGGTGGGCCTATTTGGCATATTTTTCAGGTTCCCTGTGACCCACAGGCGAGTAACCAGTGGGTCATGGCATCGAAAACCAGAAAAAATTTCATCTCATTGTTTGTAACCTAATGCAACAAGAATTCCACCTCTGCGCTCTTGTTTCATGAGATTACGGCATCGGAGAGAAGATTTATGGTTGTAACATCGCGGCCGCATAGGAGGAGCACAGCCCGTGAGCCACCGTTGACACACACCACAGCAAACATGCTAAATTCTCATGTAAAATATTAATTTGTGTTTGGCTGGCATGAAGTAATAGCTCAAGCTTGCTACGATTCTTTCTAACAGGCTTTGCACTTGTGGTGCTAAGCTTGAAGAAGGTATGGAGTGGGGCGCTTCGTCTTTCTTTCTTGCCCTATCTCTTTATCATCTTTCTGTTTTTTTATTTTGAAGTTTTATATTTCTCTTTGTGTATTTCTTTCTCTTCTTTGCTCTTTTTTGTCTCTCTCTCTTTTTCACTTACTCTTCTTTCTATTTTTTCCTCTTTATTGATTTATCTTTTATTGATGGTCTCTTCATCTTTCTGTAATATGAGGAAGAGGGTGAGGAAGAGGGGAGAGAGTGAAGCATATCATTTTTCTGTTATATGCTTTTCTCTCTCACCTGTTTCTCACTCTCACTTCCCTTTCCCACCCTCTTGGTATACTATCCTATGCTAGGCTATGTTATGCTCTGCTTGCACGCCTGCATTGCCGGGAGCTTAACAACTCTCACCTTTAGATCGCGTGTACACAAGTTCAAATGGTATCTCGCCAAAAAATTATCTCTCTCTCCTTGTTCTCTTTCTGTCTCTTCATTCTCTCTCCTATGAAGGTTATTGCATTCCATGCTGGACAAATCAGTGCACATGTTCTGAGAGTGAAGCGCAAGATAAGGAATCATGAACAGTGCGTGTGCCAGTTCATGATTGTAATAGTTTTACAGCGAAAGCTGTTATGAGATCAGTTGTCCCTCGGTGCCAGTGTCCGTAACCACATCGCGCGAATGTAGAAAAAAAACTTAGCACCATAGACACAAGGGCCAGGGACCCCCAGAGTTGACTCTAATTCCCCGTGAAATCCGCGACCTTATTACGATCGCTCCCATACCACGAAATGTACACCCCGAATACAACAGAGCTAGGCGCCTTGCGCGGGCGACCGCCATTCTCAAGCGCATAGACATGGAAGCGGACAACGTCTCGTTCGTGGACACCGCTGCCTATCGCAACAACCAAGCCTTCGCCGCGGTCGCGGTATCATCCGCGCAGCAGACTCTTAACTCAGCCACAATCCTCACCCGAAACCCCGAAGTAGCGGAGCAAGTAGCTATAGCTATAGCTATGCTCGACAGCAAACGGGAATTCATCCACAGCGACTCCAGGCCGGTCATCAAAGCCTTCGAACGCGGAGTCATCTCCGACCAGGCGTTACGTATCCTGCGCAATGCGGACCCGAGTGCCCTGAAGCACCACACTGTCATCTGGTTCCCCGCCCATCTCGGCCAGGTGCCGGGTGCCCTATCCAACCTCAACGAGATCGCCCATGATGCAGCGCGCGCACTTACCGACCGCACTGCCACAGGGCAACCTCATCTTGCTGGGTTGGATACCGATCGGGATGCACCAATTACGTACAATGAAATTACAAAGCACTTGTACTTGGAACGCCGCATTTTTCCACCCCCACATCCGAAACTTAACCGACCGCAGGCATTAACCCTACGCCTATTACAGACACACACGTACCCAAACCTTGCCACGCTTCACGTTTATTATCCCGATGCATACCCCAGCGACACATGCCCATCATGTGGACACACAGCGACACTCGAACACATGCTCTGGGAGTGTAGAACAACTCCTCCCGACTCTACCTCAAGCAAGTGGGAGAGGTCCCTCAGGAGCTCACTTCTCGCCGACCAGCGATGGGCCGTCCAGCAGGCCCACGAAGCGGCCGCCAGGTACTCCCTGTCGGTCCCTACGTGGGAGACGCCCGCTATGCGCTAAGCGCGTCCTGCAGGACCGAAATAAAGTTTTTTCATTCCATTCATTCCATAGACATAATGGGGCTGGAAACGCAGGTCTGCTGGGTGCCAGCCGAATATTCTACCACTGAGCTATGCTGGTGATTGTGACTTGTTGGTAAACCTAGCACCAAATACACAGTGGGGCTCGAACCCGGGTCCGCTGGGTGCCAGCCCAGTATTTTACCTCTGAGCTAGGCTAGTGCTTGTGACTTGTTGTCAAGCTTTCCCTTGTTCTAAACTTGTTGGCCCTAGGCAGGCTTGATGTTGGGAAAGCAATCACGTTAATACGACTTGTAAAGCATTTTAAGACAGTGAAAGAACAACCAGTAGTCGCACAATGCAAATAGCGTAATGAGTAGGCCGTCCAATGCTCCAACCCATTACAAAAGCTTGTTCTTGTTCCCTATTAACTGTGGCGCATACCCACTTCAGCCATAATTCCTCGTCGTCGTCAGCCACTGCATGAACAATTGGCACCAAATTCCTTGCAAGTGTTCAGTGGATATCATGCTTCTCAGAAGAATGACGAAAAATAGCATAGCGAATGTTGACCCAAAAGTTTATTATTAATGCCCTAGTGGGTATCAAGCAAATGTTTTTGCAGTAGTTACCCAATCAGTGTTCTGAAAAGGCTCTGAAAGGTCGCTTTTCTAGCTTTCGCTGTGACTGTGCTGTGCCTTCCGCCCAGGTCTTGCATTTTTAAATGCGAAGCATTCCTTGGTGAACTTCGGCGACTTTGAGCGTATCTATCTATCCATCTATACATTCTATCTACTGTACTTTATAGAGACTATTTCATACGCCTACGACTTTTAGCTCTCCTGGCCGTTTCGATAATGGGATCGATACCAAACTTGGTATGACATAACATGACTGTATGAAGAACATATTTGACTAGCCATAACATGAAAATCATGACATTTATGTCATGAATGTCATGATTTACATTTCATGGTCCTGCAGCTCTTTCAGTGGTTTCGTTAACATGGCATGTTGCAAAACTGGTATGGTATGACATGATTGCATGGCGAACACAAGCGACAGACCTTAACATGAAAATCATGACATGCGTGTCATGTAGCAACATGACTATGTTCCACCTTCATGATGCACTCGCGGCTGTTTCGCTAGCGTCACGTATACCAAATTTGGTATTACGGTACGTGAATGGATGACGAAGGTATGCGACTGGTTCAAACATGATCATGAGATGCGTGTCATGTAATAACATGACTACATGCTACGCTCATGATGCACTCGTGGCCGTTTTGCTAGCGTAACATATACCAAATTTGGTATTGCGGTACTTGAACGTATGAGGAAGGTATGTGACTGGTGCCAACATGATAATCATGAGATGCATGTCATGTAATAACATGATTACATTTCACACTCATGATGCGCTCACGGCCGTTTCGCTAGCTTCAGATGTACCAAACTCGGCATTACACGACGCCAATAGATGACAGAAGTATGTGACTGGTGAAAACATGATAATCATGAGATGCGTGTCATGTGAGAACATGACTACATGCCACAGTCAAGGCGCCAATACATTTCGACGTGATGTGGTGCGCGTGCTCGCCAGCGTTCATTTCATCAAGCAACGCCAGCGTTCCCACGCCACAGATATGGCGTTGCCATATACGGCAGGCGTTGCCATATACTCGCAGGTTCGCGCAGCGTTGCGTTGTTTTGATGCATGCGCGTTTCAGCGCGTCCGGCGTCCCTCCTTCACGAAAAGAGGGAGACGCAGTGTTGTTTGGGTAACGCATCGGTGTGAAATGCAGCATGTCGCATTTCACGTCGAGGGACGCTGGTTGTGCCTGGCGTCACACTATAGGTACTCGCGTTTTGCTAACGTAGCGTTACTGTGCCCACGCTACATCAGAGTATATTGGGCCCTTCATGATGCGCTCGCGGCCGTTTTGCTAGCTCCACGTATGCAAAATTTGGTGTTACGTGACGTCAATGGATGACGAAATATATGACAGATGCAAACATGATAATCCTTACACGTGTGTCATGTAGGAACATGACAACATACCACGCTCATAGCATTCTCGCAGCCATTTTGCTAGCTCCACATGTACTAAATTTGGTATCACGTGACGTGAATAGATGACGAAGGTGAATGACACATCCAAACATGATAATCATGACACGGAAGTCATATACGGCATCATTTACCTTCACCTTGTAACGTTGTGCTGATTTTAAAGTGACATATCAACATTTTTCATTCGTGCTTCACATATTATTGATTCTCACTCTGTTGAATCTGCCAATTTTTTTTTCTGTTGGTTCTGCACAAACTTACAGTTGGCCTAGACAGCTCTATGGTTAAAACCAGAGTTTTACTGCTTTTTGAATGGCATAGTCTTTTTTTGTGACCTCACAGATTTTGCAAAAGGTTGCGAATCAGCATGCAGAAGAAGTGAAACTCAATTTCTAAAAAGTTACCTCTTCCCCAGTCACAAATAGTAAGGTCTCATTAGTTCGATCTTGATTAATTTGGGAAATTGGATAGTCCAGACTTAGCTTCCAGCACGGACGAGATATTTAGGAGGTGAAACTCCCATTAAAATATGCATCCGCAGCTTTCCAGATAACGTCTTCAAAAATACAGAAATAACATGCTCCTACGGTGACATTTCAGTTGGTTACGCCTTGTGGGACAAAGCCGGAATCATGAAAAAAATAAACGCTACCGGCCAAGAGCGACTACAGAGCAAGAAACGAGCATGGCTGAACGGGCTCCGCATCCATGCTCGGTGACTGCGGCAGAATGTGAGCAACGCATGTGACCGGTTTCCTTGGAAACCGAAACGGTGGCAATTCCCTTTTCTGCTGCAAGACACCGCCAGCATGAAATGGCTCTCCAACAATTTCTGGTCCAACAAGTCTGGTCACTTAAAGGGTTGCACCTCCTAAATGTTTCTTCCTCCATAGCCTCTAGTCATGGTGGAGGCTGCCGTGTCAGGACTAGTAGTCCTCCAAACTTACCATAGTGACGTGTGCCTCCATAGTCTACAGTGTTCGCGGGATCACTTGGTTTTTCTTTCATTTAAGGGAGGGAATATAATGAAGCAAAGATGGGCAGGGAGGGCTGTTGGCTGTCCGTAGGATGACTACGTATTTTTTTTTTTTGGCACTGGGCAAACATGTGGAATCAGGTACAGTCGATATCATGAGTTGTCTTGCTTAGTCACTTCGCCATGAAAGTTCTGTGTAGTGCATAGCAGTTATAGTATGCCGTTTTTGTTGCTGTTAGTCTTTGATTTTGCAGTCTTCGTATCAGAAACTGTTGTGTACATATCGTAGTTTTTTTCTAAATGAATCTACTTTCATTCATACTTGATGATAGTCACTTGCCGAGTTTACATGCAGCATGCACTGCAGCTTTAACGACAGAGAGAGGCAGAAAAGCACATTAATTAATGCTTAGTATCTTTCTTGATTCATCCCGAGAACTCATATTTTTGCCAAAAAGAGAAGATGCAAGAAAACTTGTCAGCATGGCACTCAAAGCTGGCGTGCACTCAAAGCACACTCACTCATTGTGTTGGTGATTGTGTTAGAAGCAAGGGCTTCTTTTGTGACCCCCTTCCGTTGTCTATTCTTGGGTGCAAATTACTATTGTCCCTTATGTAAAAGTGCTTTTTGATATGTGAGTGGCAATGCTTGCAAAGGAATTGATAGCGGTGCATGTGCGGATAACGGGTACTTTTTTTCCTATGAGGCTAGATTTTACGACCATTGATAATACTTTTTACTATGGTCCTTTGAGTGTTGCCTTCCCTTCTGTGCATGACTGTGCTCAACCAATCATTCAATTATTCATTTGCTTTTTCCACTAGTGCTCACATTTCTTCATAGTCACGCATATAGAATTACAAATTTGTTTAGAAGAAAATTTGGGAAGGTTCTCAAATAAATGAACACAGGGAAGTTTTTGATATGTATATAGCATTAATCTTGGCAGGGAGATAAAAAACAGCACTGTCACTTGTCTGTGTATGTTCTATTTAGTTAGCTGACCGGCACGCAACTAGATGACACTACAAAGAATAATTATTTGTTAACCACTCATCAAACTTAATGAGTTATGACAAAACGGACAATAACCACTGATGATATTGATTTATGATAAAGTTGGCATGTACTTTGAAAAGTGTGCTTCTCTAACCTTGGTATGGTTGATTGAGGATGATTGCAGTGATTTGCTCTACATACTGCGTTAGTCCATCCCAAGCATAGAGTTTCCTAAATATACACTAGAGGGAACTCTGGCGCTAGTGTCCATGGGACCTGCAACACATGGCGCTTCAGCGAGCGTGGGAATGATGGGCAGTACACGGATTTGTCTGATCTTTGTACTTCTGGCTCCATGTGTGTTTTTGTGGCTTGGAGCTGTTTTCTCACGAAATAGAAATAGCAAACGTTCAGTGGTTGCGCTCCACCACTTTATTATTTTAGGCTTACCATTTCAAATCAGCTCACGAAGTTCAAAAGGGTTCGTTCTTCTCTTCGAAACAAAACTGAAACCCAGCAATCAACGAAGCCACAAGTGTGATTCACCACCCGGAAGTACGAAGACTAGGCAAATCCGTGTACTACCCATCATTCCCATGGTTGCTGAACGATTGCAGCACCAGAGTCCCCTCTAGTTAATTTTAGGACACCTTATGATTCCAAGAATATCCAAAAACATTGGGTGCTTCTGCTAAAAGACAATGCAGATTACAGAAAGGGCTCTTTCAGCATAGATGGAGAAGGTCACTAGGACGCAGAATGCTTCGAGGAAGCTCCATGCAACATCTTGCAGATTTGCAAGTGCGCCATGCTGATAGTCAGTTTTTTGTCTCAGGTGTGGCTGGTGCCAGTCAGTATTGCTTGTTTGACTCGCTGCTCATCAGAAAACAAATGCAGAGAAAAAATATTCGTACAAAAATCTTTTTTGCCCGGAACTTAGAAGACCCTTGTACATCAATAATCTAAGTTTGGCAGCAGTCACCACAGAAAGCCACCACCTTAACTCAGTCTGTCTGTGCACTTTAATATCAAAAGTGTACTGCTTAAAGCAGAAATTTATTGTTATCCACGACTCAGCACATATCTTGATGTATTTGTTGTGCCATTGAATCTAATATTTTGCATTGGGCACTTAAACCTTTAGGAGGAGTTCCACGATGCTGAAGTGACCAAGTTTGTGGAGGAGGACGGGCCGGCCTACCACTCTGTGAAGTATCTGGGTGTGTCCGAGGCCAAAAAGGAATGGCATGCGCGTAATCTGGCTCTGTAAGTTGCTATCTTCTTCCATCTACCATATTGTTCTTTATATTGCGAAAGTGAGCACAATGTACGATAAGCATAAAAACTCCCCGGGATGCAAACTTGAGAAGAAGCAAGATATATACTGAGCTAGGGTAAGCAGCCTGTATTTGAGATTTGCTAATTGTAGTAAAGCATTGTGGAAACATAGTGTACGTAGTACTGTTTTACTGGCCACGAACTGCAAGCAGATTGAAGTTCAACTTTTTTGCAGAACTCTCATTTCACAATTGTCTAATGCTGGCTTTATTAGGCACATTATTGCGAACTATAATGAGATAAATGTTTAGTCTAATTGGAAACAATCTTTTGTGGATATGGGCTGCATGAAAAGGGCCCTCCTACACTTTTTCAAGTAACCATCGGAAGGCTGCATTAAAGCAGTTTATTGCCTCACAAACACAGTCACGAAAATTTCTAGTATCTTTCGAGTGTGAGGGGAGGTACAGAGCTTTGTTGCACTTCGTAATTACTTTCGCTCTTCTCTCGTCTCAACGAGTGTGCTGGAAGACAAGCAGGGAGAGATAGAATGGAGTAAAAAAGTTAAGTCACGCGCACATCTTGACTTTGAACTCTTCTAACAGCGAAGCTGCTCTAGCTTGGCATAAACTGCGTGATTGTGCTGGAAAACTATCGTCATCATGAATGGGTACGTGTAACAGAGTTTGGGCAAATCTCGCTGCTCACCGCTACGGCGTGGCTGGCCTGTATTAGCCCTGATGCCAAGAGAACAAGTACAGTGAGTGGTAGAAAGAAAGAGAAACAAAGAGAAGGAAAGAAAGATATAACGAAAAAAAAAGCTCTTGCCTAAAGAAACAAAGTTCTTCACAAGGTGGGATTCAAAACCACGTACCCTTATTCCGAAGGTAAGCGTCCTAACCACTCAGCTATCCAGGCCCACTATCAGGGCATAGCATAGCCTTGTATAGTATAGTGTAGCAAGGGGGTACGAAAGGAAGTGAGCGTGAGTAAGAGAGGTGCAATGATGAGCTGGAGAGGAGCGGGTTTAGTTTAGCACACAAAAAAATCAGAAAATGATAAAGAAAAAGAAATACGAAAAGATAAAGAGAGAGAGAAAAAATTGGGTACCCTTAAGCTTCGGCTCTTGGAGTTCAACGCGATAGCCGTATTCTGTCCGTAGTGCGTACTTCAAGCACTTAGTGCGTGAAATAGTTTCAAACTTGCTATCCACCCACTGTGTGGCCTTAAGGAAATAGGCACAGTAACGTGTGTGCCTTTTGTACTGGGTGACAGGCTTTAAACCATGAAGTCATTATGATAATCAAATGTTTTCATGCCCGCTTGCAATGTGTGCTTGTATCACGTATTATTAGTGCAATATTTCATGTTGTATTGTGAAGCATGTATACAGAACGTGTGTCTTTGTAAAGTATGCAAGTTACTTTCACTGCATTTACAAGCAGAGGAAGTAATTTTTGCTGTATTCACAAGCAGATTTTCACTGTATTCACAAGGTTGTGTGGTAGGACACTCACTTGCCATGCAAGTGACCCAGGGTCGATCCCCACTCGGACGCAGAATTTAGTGGTGAAGTTCCTTATGGTTTAGGGCAATCTCTCGTCTTTCCAGCGTACCAAGTAGTGTCCCCTTATCATACAATAGATGGCGCTGTCTTGTAAAGATGGACAGACAGATGGATAGACGCTTCACCCACTCATCATCGTTCCCTCCGTGGATATGCTGTAATTTTTGAAATATTTATTTTATTTGCATCGTTCTCGATTTTTCTGACACGCACAAGATGTTGATTTTTCAGTCACAACCGATGACACCGATGCCGGCGCCAGAATTTCTGCGAAATGAGCTCTTAAATACTATCCCATTGAAAAAGAATGGAAAGTAAAAGTAAGCAAGCATGGCGTCGTCTAGCGACCAGATACCGCACCACCCAGCCAAGCCGGGCATGCGCAGTAGCTATGCCACGCCCACCGATGGGGGCATCGCATGCTACCCCGGCTCTGTAGTGCATAGCCTGTCTATGCCCGATCGCATCCAGTGAGTCGTGAGGTGTTCTAAAAAAGTGCTTAAGTGTGTACTCCCAAGGAGGAAGCCATGCATCTCGGAGGTAGACATGTCATTCAACGGGGCATACAAGTGGTAATAGGCCCGGTTTTTGCTGTGCCAAGCTTTGTGTGACTTAGTGTAAACTGGCAGCATTTTTCCCCTCCCTTCGTATTGGCGGCTTTCTTTCAGTGTGATTGTGAGTGCGTGCGCCCAACGCCAAGTCTAATGGTTCATACGTAACCTCTGGTTTGCCGTATGAATTTTATCATTTATGCAATCATGGATGCAATAACTACATTGTAAAGTAGTTATAACTTGTATAGTCATCACATCGATGAGTGTTACTGGAGGTTTCGAATGATTACGTGTGAGATGTTGACACACAGACAATGTGAGGCATGATTGTGAATGATTCAAAAATAATTTTGACTACTTGGGGTTCCTGTAAAATGCATTCACCTCTCAATGTACTAGGATTTCTGCAATATCATTCTATTTTTATGATGCAAAGATGGCCAGCAATTCAATGTAAACGTCAGACTCGGCAATGTACCATATGTGCGGATCTACTTCAGAGGGAACTGCTATATGAAGTACCTGACCAATTAATTATTTGTGGCTCCACAGCAGTATTTTACCATGCAGTATTAGATATTGAACTTGATAGGGAAGCAAAAACTGGTGTGTAACTGGTGGTTGTTTGTCGATCCCATCTTTTTCTAGGGAGGAGTGTTTGAAGATCAACTGTGATTACGCCTTCTTTGTGGACAGTGAAGCCCACCTTGACAATCCCGACACTTTAAGGCTTCTCATAGAGACAAACAGGTGCGCACTGTGTTTTGCTTCTTGCTCTTCAAACTTGTCATTGTTGATGCCAGAAAGATGCCTTAATGCACAGGACTTTAGGAAACATTTGCATTTGTTCTTGAGATGAAAAATATTTCCCTTTTTTTTTTTCTCTTGACAGAGGCTTACTTAAAAAAGCAATTGAGCCAACCACTGAGATTGGTAGAAAAGAGACGTATTGAGCACTCGCCAGTTTCTAGATGCACGTGACTGTTTTTATTTTTTTACAATATTTCTTACTATATTTTTTATGTTGCAAAGATCTAGAGTGTAGGCTCTAGGCGGCATCACAGTGAGCTTTGCTACTTTTATGCTCATGCTGCCAGCCATTGGCCACTATACATAGTTTATGCCTTTGTTTTTCCTACTCTCGTAACTTCCTTGATTGCAGAACAGCTGGCTCGGTCCTTTTATTTTCTGCCCAAGTATTCTACATTTCACTATAAATTTAAACATCTTATTTCTTATGGAAATGCAGATTTCACTTGGTTCACTTAAAATTGGATATTGTACATAATGACTTGCACTGCGTTGGGCTTGTCGGATGTTGAGAAAAGAGCATGGGAACTTAGTGAAAGCAGGCTCAGTGCTGTACTGAGCCTGCTTTTGTGACAAACTTGAGAGGCAGTATCAGTGCGAATTCATCAATGTACTGTTGTGCTGTCTGTTATCACACTAATAGAGCGTTTATTGTAAGTGATCTCGAATAAGTGATCTGTCGTATAAGTTGGTATCACCGCAGAAAAGGAACACTGTCTATTATCTCCTTTTTGCTTGCTTGTACAGACTCCCACAATATATCAGAAGGCCTTTTAAAAAGAAAGACTGTGTTAGTATAAATGGGGCCAGATTTATAAATGATTTATAAGAGGTACCAAGGACATACAGCATAAATCGGAAATAAAGATGGCCCACATTTGTTTTATTACAGGACCATTGTAGCACCACTGCTGTCAAGACATAAAAGCTTGTGGTCCAACTTCTGGGGTACCCTCTCTGCAGACGGCTACTATGCACGGTCCCACGACTACGTCTCTCTCGTAAAACGAGAGCGCAAGTGAGTAATCTTTATTGCCATCTTAGAAATGTGCCGCTCATGGCACGCTCATGGGGATCTGATGAGCGTACTGTCCGACAGCGTGGATACTCGTTGAGCTTAATAATTTATTCTGGCTGAATGCGTGGTTATGCCATCGAAATGAAAGTGGTTTAATTTTCAGAGGATGCGTGTGAGAAGAGTTTACTCAATGTGAACCATCCTTTTCAGAAGTTCCGTCAACATGAGTTCCGTTAACGTAGCTTAGCTCTGCACAAATTATATTGCAGCACTTCCATTTAGTTTAGGATCTCTGGGACAGGTTCTGCAACAGAATTCTTCTGTTGATGCTGAAAAACGTAACTCTTAATTCTTATAAGGCGATAGGAGGGTGAGGGGTGGAGGAAGGCAGTTAGTAATCATTTGTCTGCTCATTACGATTGGTCTATTAATGGCTATACACTTAAACCTCGATATACTGAACCCGGACTTTAACGAGATGCTGGTTATAACGAAGTATATGAAAAATAGTCGTGCAATAGACATAGTGTTAGGGACAAACCTTTATAGCGAATTTTCGGATATAACGAACTTATTTTCTTGTAAGATCCAACTTTGTTGTAATGAGGTTTAAGTGTAGTACAAGTGCAGTGATGGTAGATGAAAAGTTTTAACTGAAAACTTCAAAAAATTAGCTGAATGCCAGTTTTTATTTCTACTGTCTATTTGGAAATTGCCAACTAACTCATTTGTTGCTACTTTTTATTTGAAAAGTACTCCTCACCATCACTTGTGCTTTATTTTGTTTGCGTTCCCTTTCAGTACAACCTTATATAATAAATTGACGGACAATCGATTTTGTAGCACGACTTTTCTTTCTGGGCGTAATGCAAAGTCTACTGTCTAAAGTATCCATGACAGCAGATCACCAAGAAAATGCTTGGAAATTTTTAAGCCTTGAGGTTTCTCTCTGCAAAATATGTTCTGTTTACTTTGAGGTGATGCTTGCAGCATGTTAAGTTATGTTAGTGTTGACAGTACATGACAGGAACTGAGCAACCTAAATATTATGTGAATTAGGCATCAGTGTAGATATTCTATGAAAGATTGTGATTGCACCAAAACAACTCTTACTATCATAGAGATGTCACGGAGGTTTTTATTGTTTGTGAAATTCTACGCTAGATCGAATCAAGTGCGGCAGTCCCCATGCAATTTTGTGCAATCTAGAAAATTATGGAGAAACAGTTGGATGACTTAGAGATCTTGACAGGCTAGCATAGAATTGGGACCATTTATTTGTCGGTCGTGCTCGTCAGTTCGTATTGCTTCTGGCAACAAGAAGGAACGTTGGTGCACGCTACACTACTAGTGTGGTGATCTCAGTAACTTGCCGTTGGTTAGTGTGTGGACATGCAGATGCTCAGCTGGTGGAAAGGGTGATATGGTTCAGTGACTGGTTTTGTATTGCAGGGAGCATGCAGTCTGTGCTGCATCTCTGTCAATAAATGGTCTTGCATTCTTGAATATAGCCAGTGCCAATTTGCAAGACAATTACTTGCAAATTACAAATGAATAGAGTGAAACATCCTTTTTTTGTCAATTTATAGATCCAGCAGATGAAATCAACAGAATTCGGTGCACTTATTTAAGATTGGACATGGTTTTATTGCATGTAATTGCGAGTGCCATTGCAGAATGCCTTCTTATATCATTTATGCATGAGTTAGAATGGACTTGAATATTGTGGTACCTTTTGAGGAGATCTAAGTACGTCTGTTCTAATCTTACTGAGGCACGACCTTTTTCTTAGCACTGGCTACGTTCAATGGCACTGGCCATTGGCGCAATGATTTGATGGCACAAAATGTATGATTGCCAGCCTGTAAAATATTGCCACCTATTGTCTTCGTTTGTTTGAACATTAAATTTCTTTCTTTGAACTCATCTTGCCAAATGACATTGCATGCATCTGTGGACATAGTACTTATATCTTTGACTTCCCAGAGCTGTGCCACCTGTGCAGGAAGATAAAAACGTGTAGAATTGCCAGATAACACTAGCGTATGCTGTTATGATACCTTATATAAAGGATCTATAGTTCTAGGTACGACAGGTCTTGCTAGTTCTTTAATTGGAGAAGGAAAGCGTGTAATTCTCATACAATGTAGAATTTGTTGCTTTCCAAGTAGTTTCTGCTAGTTTATTTAAGAAAGCTAGCTACAGTGAAAACCAGACATATCGAATTAAAGTTAGATTGAGTAGTTGTAACGTAACGTCCCTTTAGGCAACTCATATCTGTAGCAGTGTTGTATGTGTGATATTAGAAATGTTCACAGCCACTTTCAACATTAAATGCTGTGCTGCCTTGTGCCTTTACAGTGGTACTTCTCCTGATAGAGCTGCAATCACTTCACTGCAATCATTTTTCTTTAGTAGGCTTTACCTCATAAGACGACTATGTTGAAGTGAAATTTACTTAAGTGAATACGTCATTACTTAGTGTAAATAAAATCTTTTGGTGCACAAGCTGTTCATATTTTAGTGCACGCACATCTTGCTCATCTTATCTCAAAAGTGTTTTAACTTCATCTCCATAAAATAAATGACATTGGCAAAATTGCACTTGAACAGCTCACAAAAAGGCATTCAAATACCGCATATTAAAGATAGAGTAAATGGCAGTTTGATTGCAAAATATAGTTCACCAGTTTTGTATGACATTTTCAAGATGTCATACCCACTTGCTAAGTGAAGATTTTTATACGTCCAGGTCTAACTGTAACTGTAGAAATCGCGGCAGAATATTTCATGGAGGTGTTACTGTCTACATATTGCTTAGTGGCAATTCATTAGAAATAGGTAGATCTTGGATCATCAGCACCTTCATGGAGAGGTACTGCTTGACCTATTTGGTATTCATAGGGCTGGGTTCATGGCTTTAACGCGAGAACATTTTAAACACTGACTTTCAAAGCTGAAAATGGAAACTGCAATTATACACATGCCAAGGGCTAGATTACGTCGGACTGTGCCACTTACCTTTTGAGTAGAGCCAAAATTAGTGACGCATTGGATTTTTTTGATGAACATGTGTGCAAGCCGCTTCAGTGAGCAAATAATATTTTAGAATTTCCTGAAAGCACTCATGTACTTGCTTCGTTGCCATAGCATGATGGTCAGCGAAGAGCTCATTTTTGGAAAGGTACTACATGAGGCTTCTGCCAGTACATTACCCCCTTGCTGTGCAGCAGAGAGTGTAGGTTTTGAGGCATTTTCTCTTTACATTTATCAGTCTCTTTGAGTAGGTAGCTAGTGTGCTATAAGTGCCATTGTGACAGTAGCAGAGACTGCAGATTGATGGCTACAAAACACCAATGTTTTGCATAGTGCGAGTAAAGAAGAAAGGATGAAAAAATGGGTAGCTTAGAGCCGTGTAAATGCGTGGCGGTAGGGATGTTGTGCTGACTGACCCAGGAAATGTTTGTTAGTTAAGTTCTACGAATGTTCCAGCGTTAAGAGTAGCTTAGAGGTAATTTATTGTATGAAGTAAAGGCAGGTTTTTAGTAAGGTACAGTGTAGGCTTGTGAAAATAGCCAATTTTAGGCTAGAAGCGAATAGTGATTTTGGTTGAGCCATTTTGAATTGAGCTAAAATAGCGTATATCGCATATTATAAAGAAAAATAGGCATATTTGTCATTACCTAACAAACCTGCTCACTGTACATTATTTTTTAAAAGTTGAAACAAGGCATGTGCAGTTGCCATTTTTTTGGTTCAAAAGAAGTGGAAAGAACTTCGAATAGTAGCAGGATTTATTTCAGTAGAATGCTAATGAAAACTTGTACAGCGTATTATAGCGTATTATGTTTTAAAATTTACTATGCTCAAAGCATATAAGCCAGTATAGCAAACTTTCAACTTAAAATATGATGAATCGATGTGAGGGTAATATGTTCATTTAACCCGGAAATAAGACTTTGCAGCAGAGTGGATTTCCCTGGGTAGATGTTTTCTTGGCTTAGTACATTCTAACTGTGGTGAAACCACCTGCACAGGGTGTTACATGCAAATCAGTATACATTTGATTAGGTGTTTTTACGGCTTAGCACCCCTTTGCGCTAGTGAAACCACCTTTAGAGGGTCTACATGTGTACTAATACATATCTATTTGCTTATTTCGAATAATTCGAAACTTTCAATAATTTAAATTGGAATTAAAGTGAATTTGAATACTGTAATATTTGCTCAAATATTGGAAGCATTTGAATATTCGTACAAACCTGGTTAGATGTGATTTCACAAATTTTTAAGCCCAGCCTAACTCATGCTCTTGAGCTCACAAAATACTGTGGCTATGTCTCAAGCTAGATGAAGCTTCAAAGAACTTTTGATATACTTACACATTGGTTAGTGTCAATAGGTGTGTTTTCGCTCAGTCAAGCCCTATTTTTCCCTCTTTTTGTTTGACTCCGTGTTTGCTGCATTGGTCTGCTAATCAATGGGATTGTGATAATATGAGGCTATTGGAACCCTAACACTTCCATCCTTTTTTTTCCTTTAAAAATTATTGCGATAGGAATTATATGAACACTTGAGTTATGTTATCGCTGCAGCCATCTGGCAGCCTCAGTGCATGAGCACACTCTCACCACTCCCGCTTAGTTCACACGATGAATGTCAAAGGTTGCTTGATCTGCTTGGTACCATTTTACCAATGAGCAAAGAAGCCTGACTATGACGTGCACCGTGTTTCCACATGCCCAAAGTTGGAAGCTGTCTGATCTTATAAGCCTGAAAGATGTCGTTCACTTGAAATGGTAAAAGAGGCAGCGGTATTTTTGTAACGAGAATGTGCAGTCTGCGCTGCGGATGCTCCCCAATGTATGAAGTGGTCAGTATGACCTAGATGAAAGACAGAGAAGGACCTAGATGGAAGACAGAAAGAACACAACACAAGTACGGATGCCACACCAGTGTTGTGACCACAAGTGCTTGTGATGGTCATTGAGTGAAACCTGTTAATGCACGGCTTTAAGCATGCGTAAGCCAACTAATGTATTTATGAAAATTGTGCTCCCTATAAAAGCACTAGCCCTTCCTTCTTTATAGGGGTCAAATAGTATGTCATTCCATCACTGGCAATGCCTTGCCCTTCAAGCAAAACTACAGCTACGTTAGTACTTCACCACATCTTTAGCTTTGCCCGAGAAATTTAGATTTTGTACATAGGGTGACTTTTGTAATGCTCTTTGGGAAGACAAGTTGTCTTTGGGAATACTCTGGTACATTTCTGTGCACTGCCCTCTGCACTTATTGACTAACCTTCTTCCCATACAAGGAGTGACGTGTTAGTTCTTTGCTAGTTCACGCATTCACTGGGCATCTCGTCACTCTTTGAATTTATCGTAAGCCATGTGTGTTGACTGAATAACAGAGCATTCTGCGTAGTATACTGCCTATTAATTCTACTCTACCTAATTGTTATCAGCATACAAAGCGGGAATTGAAATTAAAAGCCACTTGTCAACAGGGATGGATTGCTCTTTGGCACTATCTGTTGGTGCAAACAGGTATTTGAGTAGCAGCTACCAACCACATAAGTACTTGTGCCATTTCAAGATTCTACTAATGAAGCATCAATGAAGCATTAGCAGCTGCTGTCACTATAACTGAACTTCTAATGCACTGGAAAGAACATGGACACACCCAAGGTTTGAAGCACTAATGCCTTCGTGTCAAGCAAATACACAGCAGTGCATATAACGCTTCATTTATCGTTTAGGCAAGTTTCGAGTGGGCGAAAGGCATACAGTGTCTTTGCATTTGTGCAAAATTTGTGTCTCGAAGGTATCGTTTACTAGAGAAGCGTAGTGACATTGATCTAAGCAATCCAAATGAAGAGTCTGTGATAAATACACACCAGATGCACAGCAGCAACGTGGGAACAGCTGACCGAACTCTGCTTTATTTTTAACAGTCAGGGACACACAAGCTGAGCCACTAGTGAGCTACACACAGGATGCGCAATGAGAGAAACTGTAATGCACACGCTGTTTTGTTTTGGTGTTTTGTACCAAGCATGAGACACCTGTATCGTCTTCAACAAGACAGGGAGTTTGGCACTGGTAGGTACTGGGAAACGGGTGATCACTGGGTGGTACATGTCTTGAATTTGTTGCGTTTAAGTGGGAAACAAGCATACCTGTTCTGTCCGCAGTCTTGCGGGCTGTACGCACTACACAGTAATGGTGTTAATGGTGAAACACTCGTGAGTGCGAGTGAACAGGACGTTTGTGACATCTGGATTTTCCACATACTTCTGTTTAAAGTAGTATGTCAGGCCTTGCAATCTTAATATGTTGGTGAGTTTGGATTAGAAGTATTCAGTGTAGAAAAGCTTATCTCAAACATTTTCTTCAGCTTGGAATCATTAAATTTAATTAAAAAGAATTTCCACATGCATTTGCATTTGGTATTTGCTAGATGTAGTGTTTCACTGGCTTGTTTATAGGAGCTTGTTTCGTTTTTATCTATTTCTTTGTATGAGTAATTTTACCACATGATCAGTCATAAATTTAGACTTTTTAGAATGAAATAAGCATTTACGTTGAAATGATTGCCCGAAGGAACTGTGTGCTACTTCTTTTTGATAGTACTCTTCTTGTTTTTGCTACCTTGTAGTCTGTTTCAGGATAGGAAATAACCTGCTACAGTACAGCAGGTGTTCGGGAGTAGTAAGCTCTATGAGTGTCTGTTTTTGTTGGTTTTCAGTGTTATGAACGGTTTTACTGTAAATGGATGGAATGAAGCTGATTGGAATTGGACTATTTACAGTGCAGGCACGTCTCTAGGATTCGAGTAGCTATATGATTTGAGAGCTAGATGAGCAAAAGGCAGAACTCTGTAAGTTCAAAGCATAGCGATAAAAAAAAAAAGAGAATCTTGAAGCATTAAGTATTGTCCTTACTTCTTCTGATGTACACAAGAGCAAGTTAACGTTTGTCCTTCCTCTGCATTGTAATGTCAGCAGATTGTGTGTCTCACTTGCTAACAATTGCTGAAGGAACGAGATCAGTAAATGGTGGAGGTATTTCAGCCAAAACAATATTGCTATTAGGTTTGCGACAGACTGGTCTCCGGTTAGTCAATTGGTGCGATGATTTACCTTCCGATGAGTTTCTACTTTTTCCTTGTGTATAAACTTATAACACTAAAGTCAAATAGAAACTAAATCGCTTGAATTCCTTTCAGAGTTTCTGTCGGTTGTTGGTAGAGTCTAAGCTTTCACGTGCGTAATCATCCGCCGTGCCACATTGAACGATGTGTGTTGCTGTCACTCAACACTGTTTAAGGCCTGATTAATGTAGGCATTTTTAGTGGGTGCATGTGTCGGTTGAATGTGGTACCTGCCGTCGCACTTCTTTCAAGGAACCTGCTGCAGCCTAGCTCCCCAAGGAGCTGAAGTCGGCTTTGAAGGTTCGGCTGTCGATGGCGTACTTGTTGTCAGCCTGGCATTCATAGTTTCCGGAGTCCATCTGTCTTGCCGGGTCGATTTCAAGCTTGCTCTTGATTCGGTCTCCTTCTAGCTGCCACTCTGATATTTGCAGGATGGACTGCAAGTTTTAGAGAAATCGGAAGTTGAGGAAAGGTTTTACAACAGCGAGGGAGCTACGTAAGTTCACAGTAAAGCATTCTACATGGCTGTTGATAATAAACCAGTAATTGCATATTGTACACTAGGTCATATGGTACAGATTACATGTTGGCAATCGATCACTACGTGGCATGGCTGTTGAAAAATGTGCCTCCTCATGAAAAGATTCCTGGTACGAGTTAGTCCACTACAGTCACAATTGGCATGGAAGCTCTAAATATTACTTTATAGGGAACCTGGTCGAATTATATTAATATGGTTAGAATACAGGGACGTCTGTGACCGTACACATTTCTCGTAGTCACTGGGAATCACTCAAGGTACTAATGGAGGCTGTTGCTTTGCTGTGATGCGTGCGAAAGGTATGTTTTTGCCTAGATGCAGGCCTCTTGTGCAAAAGCCTGAACAAAGCTGTGCAAGTATGTCACACATTGTGTTGCAACTGTCCCGTTCCAGTCACGGATATTAAATGAGCATTCAGATTAGTGAATACACCAACATGCACTGGACCAGAAAACGTTCCTGCGAGTTACGTGGTGGTGCCATTCACGTAAAATTCAAAATCATACTGACCTAATGTGGCACTGCTGATCGCTTTTTTGGATTAGTGTAGATACGCAGACATTCATGTATGCGTAAGAAATGTTGTGGAGGCTTTTGCCTGTTACCTTGCGCTTTCCAACGAAGTCAAACGGCGTGTAGCAAACATACCTTCAATTACATGCAGTAGCCTAACTTTTGGTGTACCTGCATGTACGGGTGAGCGAATATCTCGATGCCGTCCTTGTACCAGGTGATGCGGGGCCGAGGCACGCCACGCGCCACGCAGATGAATACGATCTTGTGGCCCAGAAAGAACTCGTAGTCGAAGTGTGATGCCTTCTCAATCTGGGCTCCCTGCATATGTTCCACACACAGAGCTCTGCATTGAATGCATCATAACTTGAAGTGATGTTTTCATTGTTATAATGGTAACATGTCACATCTGCATTCTACTCCATTACATTTCTGCAAAGTGAGATTATTTTGGCCTGGTTTGAAGAGTGAGGGAGGTATGGTTTATTAGCTGGCAGCTGCAAGCTAATTCTCGTTCGCGTGTGTCATAATGCGCTGTTACCAGTCTGCTTCTAATGCTTACATTTTGTTTCTATATTTAATATATGTTCACTCACACATATGGAAAGATGTATGCATACAAAAAAGTGGGTCGGAACTCCGTCTTCTCTTCTCCTCATGTAATTTCGCTCCACGCCCCTTCCTTTGTGTGAAACTCTACTCCAATAAACTATGGCGTGCAGTAAATTCTTGTGTGGTTAATATAAGAATGTGCAGTGTTCCCCTTCATAAAGTTGAAAGTTCATTGCAATGCACCCTCTCTATTTAGTCATTGTATGGCGCAGACTTTGCACCCCGCCCCCACTTTATGTGACTTGGGAGGGGAAAGGTGCCCGGCCCCTTGCCCCCCCCCCCCCCCCCCCCCCCATGCATGCCTATGGTGATGCACCATTCTGATTACCTGTCTTGAATTTATGAAATAGGAAGTATTTTTTGCTTTTCTGCCAATAATATGGGAGGTTCATGAAAAATGTTTTCTACAAACCTAGAAATTCAATCACGAATGATGTGTAACTGGCTTTGAGAGTGCCTTGAAGAAATATAATTGCACTTTTTTTTTTTTGGTTGATTAGGTAGGAAGGATAGCTGGTATGTAAAGCATATTCACTTTTTCGTTTTCTTTCTGTTTTTGAAAATGTCTTGCTGTGCACATGCCCTTGATTTTTCGGTCTTACTGGACTGAACAGATAGACAGGAACGCTGTTACACAGCAAAACATGCTCTGGTGGAGAAAACCTTTGTGTTACACATCCTGTTGCGTCCAACGGGCGCGGCAACTAATTAATTTGTGTCCTCGGGTGTATTCGCCTCCTTCTACAAGTTCTGGAGGCACTGCTGCGGCCCGACGTCGAAGAGCCCGAGTCGCGAAATTCTTCCTTACATCACAGCGCCCAGGGAGATAGAGAAGGAGGTGGAACATTGAAGTACGCTTCCGTCTATCTCTACCGCCCTCTTCGGAAGGCGTAGTAGTATCTCCGAGTGACCCGCGGGGGAGGGAGCGAGTGAGGGAAGGAGGTTGTACGTGCCGTCGCAACCGTGGCCGAATCGAAACCGGAGCCGTCGTGTATACGTGTTCTGCCTGCGGGCGTGACCCGCCCTCGCCATTTCGTGTCTCCCTCTCTCTGGGCCTAATCAGCGCTGCTCTCCCTAAAGCCGCGCGTTCGTTCGCCCCTCGCTGTGCGTGCAGGCGGGGAGGGGGGGGGGGAATTCTTTCTTAGACGCGAATACGGCATACCACGTACACGCGACGGCATCTTTCCCGCTTTATCCCTTTTCTTATCCCCAAAAGAGAGGCTTTTATTCCCCGGCCGTCACGCGCGCGCCTCTTTTCCCGAAAGGAAGTTGGCTGACAGGGAATGGCGGGGCATCGCCTTTCTTCGCCCATTATCTGGAGTCCCGCGGCGTCTCGCACTCTCTCTGATATCTTGCTCGGTTTTTGTTTTCTTTGTTCTTCCGTTCGCTCCGCTCTGTTACATTATAGTTCAGGTCTCCCGCCGAAGTGTGTTTCCCAACTCCCGAAATCTTTACTCCACGCCTTTTTTTTTACCTTTCGCCTTCCCTTCCCGAGGCGGCGGTACCTTGAGTTTCGTCATCGATAGGTCCTACATTGTCGTCGTCTGTCACGGTTCATAAACAACTCTCTTGCAAGCTAGCTTGACCGTTTCCTCCGTGACTTGGTGTTGTCTCGTCTTCTGTCTTTTTTTTTTTGTCGCGCATTTCTTACGACTCTCACGATATGTCGACAACCCGTGGTGATTCGAAATCGGTGTACGAGTGCGCATGTGTACGGTATGTTTGTCTTCTTGGTGCGTCCTTCCTTCGCACACTATTCTTGGTGTATCTGTATCTCTCCTGTTTCTCTCTCTCTCTCCACACGCGTATACGCACACATACACACACATTCAAACGCACACCACACATACACAAACACGCACGCACAGAGAGAGAGAGAGAGAGAGAGAGAGCTCGGTTAGTCGTCACTTCGTTCGTCTCTGTCCTCCGTCTTTCTTTATCGCTCCTTTTTTTCTACACAGATGCCCGCGCACGTTTGTTACATCTCTCGGCGCGTTAGTCTCGGTTGCCCGCAATGCCTTCATTCTTTTACGGCCTCGTTTGTCGCCATTCTTGCTCCTGACGGTTTTGTTGCTGCCATCGTTTCTCGTTCAAGCCGCCTTTCGTAATTCGCTCCGCGCATTTCTTTTTCTTTTCTATCTTTTTTTTTCTCTCCTCGCGAGCCGTACCCTGAAATGCTTCCTAGCTCCGCGCCTTTTTCCCCGAGTCGACGCATAATGCAGACATGCTTTAGCTGGGTTTTTTGGTCTACGCCCTTCAGTCTCTTTCGCTCTGTCTCTTTTTTTCTGTCTCTTGGTTATTAGATAAGCACGCGGAATGGAAATGTTGGCTAACAAGCAGCGCACATGTTCCGTCTCCTATAACTCAGTTAGGAAACTCGCACATTGCGTCGCGTACGTTGCGCGCACGCTCAAATGCTCCTCACACACACACACACACAAAAAATAATGGTGCGCGTTTGTTCGAGCGTAAGAAATTTGGCATTCGCCTCGAGGAAGAGGAGGCGTGACCGCAAACGCCAACATCCGCGCACAGCGCGTCTACATCCTGAGGCAGAATATGACGCGTGCAGCAGGTTGCCGGACTCTGATCTTGAAATGAATCCCGATGGCTGTTTTGCTTTGTTACTTCTTGTTATTGCTTTTTTTTTGTAGATATATCGCTGTTCTGGGTCGAAGTATGATGCGTCCGCCAGACGCCTCTGTCTAAGGCATTAATTCGACTGCGTGGCGCCAGTTCGCGCGTTCGATTACCAGCCGTCACATCTAGGCTTTGACAAGCGTGGAATGCAATCAATCAATTAGTGCATATGTGGGTGGTCATAATCAGAAGGCCTACATTTTTAAGCAAATAATAGCCTCATGCGTTGCTTTGAAACGCCGTAATTAATCAACGTTGCCACTCAGATATAGTGTGTGACGTCACTAAACCTATTGGAAACGAGTGTTGAGACGCTGATGTATATGTCTGTGTCCTTATGTTTTATTTGAGCGCATGTGAGCTCGATGTCCTTGTGCTGACGGTATAGCCAGCCTTCGCTGAATACCATATCATATGTGCGCGCACGTACAAAGAAAGGAAACAAGAGCGAAGAAAATTTTGGGGGCATATTTTGAATTAGCGTAACTTTCCTCCTGTTGTGGTCTGTGTTTTTCGTCCCGCACCTGCAGTCTATATAGTGACACTGCAGCGCTGCATTTCGTGCCGAGGCTCTAACCAGAATGAGATATTACGCATATCTGCCGAGAAATTAAAATTAAACATTGTTCTTTTTTTTTTCGGTATCAGCCGCGGCCATCGCGCCACAGGTTGTGTGCGTTTCGCCGACGCGTTTTCACTCAGCGTCCCCGTTAACCCTCAATTCCCGCGGCGCGCGGTTTTTCGCCAGGTTGCTCTCACAGGAGCACCCTTCCGCGGCTGCAGAGCGCGGAAAACATCCGCGATTTGTAAGCCTCTAACTCCGCCTCGCAGTTATTTTTGTATGTTGTGTTTTCATTTTTTTTTATTCTCTTGGGTGTCTCCACAGCGCTACGCGGCCGACGCGGGAAAAGGAACGGTGCACCCATTAGCGACCGCAGTATACGAAGGCGCTCGTAAGATGGCGCTTCTGCTGCGTGGCGTGTTTTTGCTTTTCTTCCCACCTATAAGGTCCGCCTTTTATACGGCTTTGTAGAAGTATAACTTGTTCAGCTGTAACTTGGAAATATAAGAAAAAAACTATATAAAGCGATGTATTCCGCTGGGAAATAAAGAAGAATGAAGAGAACTGGGCAATGAATTAAGGGCCTGCAATGAACGCTTCTTTCGCTTGCCGAAGGTCTTCTTTCCGTCGATGTTATTGTATACCATGTAGTATACCATGTATATATTTGTTTTTCGTTTTGTTGCTGTGGTGCATCCGAATGTACTGTACCCAGAATGCAGAGCTTGCTTTCAGCGTTTCACGTATTTTATTTTTGTATTGTTTTCCCCCCTTTTCCTCTTGAGCCTGTACCGCTTGTTCTGCGCGTTATGTGGTTGGCTAACTTCGAAGAATAGTTTTGTAGTTGCAATAGAACTTTCTTTCTCTCCCTCTCATACTCTTGCTATAGCCTACTGAAATCTGCAGGGTTGCGCTGGCATTTTCTGGTGTGGAGTAAAGGTGGTTATCGAAGACGAAGTGAAAAGGGAGAGATCAGAGTAACTGCGATTTTTGGCGTGTAAGCCAATATTTAGATTAGATAACGTCTAAAGTTACTAAAATTACATTTGAAGTACCCGCCATTTGGTTAACGTAGCTCTAGCATAAAGATATTGTACTTAAGATGTTAAGGAACTCATGCTTAACATAAAAAGAAAAAGATATGTCTTTTCATTTCTTTTTTTTATAGCAAGGAAACGATCTCGTCGTGGTTTGCCGTAGGCAACCTTGAAATGTTCGAAGTTAACAACACCATTGCTCTGTCGTCACACCAAACTTATGTGCTCATGCGACGTTACTTCATAAATTTGTAAGATAAAGTCTGGTGGCAAACGTCGGGATGATTACGTTCACAACAGTAAGTCGCGGTTAGTCATCCTCTGCGGTCATTCGGGATCGTATCATTTACAGTATGTGCGGAAGTGAAATGTTACTGTCAATGTTTACATCTAAATATTCGGTGCGGTCTAATCGGTTGCTGTCGTTAAACACGCGGCACTGATGCAGTGGAACAGTTGCGAACTTTAAG